CGCGGCAAATTGCGCGGCGAAGTGCGTGGTGATTCGAACAACCCGGGCGCCTATCATTGGGGCCCAAATTTGAAGTACAGTAGATTAGTAGGGTTAACTGTCATTACTAATCTACTCTTCTTCAAATTTGGGCCCCAATGATAGGCGCCAGAGCCGTTCGACTCACTACGCACTTCGCCGCGCAATTTGCCGCGCGCATCCTCGGACGCACGTAAGTCCCGTCCCCCCTTAGGCCCAGTACTACTATCTCGCCGGGGAGGGTGCAGACATGAAAAGGCCCCGCGCCGCCGCGTGGCCCCTCCCAACTCACTTAGCACCCTGAGCGCCTAGCGCTCATACTTCGACATTCTACTTGCGTGCGTGCCGGCATGCACGCAGAATCGCAGTTGGAATCGTGCGTGCGAGCAAGCGAGCGTGTCGCGACGGCGGCGCTAACCAACTGTGACAGCACTGGCACGTGGTCAATTGGCGTACAGTGTTGGCAAGAAGGGGTTGGAGCCGCCGCCGGCCGTCACGCGCGGCATACTGATAGGCTCTGAAAACAGCCGTGGTTGTACCGGCCGTCGATCAATAACGAACGGGTTGACGGTAAATAATTTCTTGATCGAGTATTTATTGGTTCTGCTATTGTTATTTCTTTTGCTATTTCTTTGTTTTGTATACAAACTTAACATTTTTTTGTTTAACTGCTGAGGTATAATGTGACGGAAGTATACTACCCTGAAATCCCATGGATAAGAGCGGTTTAATTTACCGGTGAAAATGGATTGAAATGAAATTGAAATTGAATGCAGTCACCCCTCAAACTTGATGGATGGATAAATAAAAATCGGAGAAGAAGTTTAGAAGGAACTCCACCCCTCAACTCTAAACCCCGCACACTTAATAAACAATTCATGCAGCGATTTTAACGGATCGTCCGTCCGACGCGTGCGTGCTGCGACGGCGGTCGCTAGAGTAGTGTTGACAGCGTTGCCACGTGATCTAGTGTTGTCAACAACGGTCAGGCGGCGCCGTCGCTGCACGCACGCGTCGGGGGGGCGGACGGACGGACGGATGAATCGTTGAGGTCTGAAAACAGCTATTCTCTTTTCTCAAAACCATTGTTCATTGCGTAGTATTTATCACGAGTCTCTTAGACTTCTCTAATCCTTTCTTTCTCACAATATTTGGTTGCTGGGTCACAGATTTCTTCAAACAGTGAAATCTGGCTCACTCACGAAATAGACCCCGCATAACAGATGTGAACAGGTTAACGCGCAAGAAAATGAAAATTCAGTTTGGGTACTGAACGTCTTGGTAGTACAACACCTTGACGCATTTGCGAGCGCGTGAACTGCGCGCGTGAACTAAACACGTGCGCTAGGGGTGTGAACTATGAGTGCGCCTACTTAACTACTACAGTAACCTAGCTAAGGGTCCTGCCACACCAAAAAAGTATTTGTGATGTATTGTTGAACAGATCTGATACCTATCGAATGAGGAAGGGGAGGACAACTGCTCTTTTGCGAAATTGAGCGCGCAGAGAAGAAGGATGTCTGACATTACTTGTGCTTAGAGATGGTTTTAAGATGAAAGAATATTCTTTTTATCAAGCTTTAGAAGCGGAAGAGCTCCTGTGTGGATGGGCAAGATGCTTAACTCGATGGGGTAAGAATCGAACATCCAATTGGCTCACCAACCCCGAAGCTCTTTCCTCCTGAGGCTTAGATAGAAAAAACATATTGTTCGGATAAGAACGATCTAAGCACCATTATGGGCTCGCAAAGCCGGCTATCCCCACCTGCGCTCGAACGCTCATTGACTCAAAAAAACGTTGCCTCCTCCCCCTTCCTTAACTACCTCTTCTACATTTCCACCAAAGGCGCAGGAGAGGTAGGGACATAACCAGAATGCATCTGAGTTTCTCCGCGAGCTGCGCGACTTGTGATAACGCTAAGTATAAACACGACATCGAATTCTGTAGCCGCGCGTTGCAATTTCCCCCATCACTATTAGGCCATGATTATTGCTCTTTATTTAGAAATGAGCAGCCCTATTGGTTAGATCATAGCATAGTAACAAATCTTTGCTAATAATTGGAAGCCCTACTGTTCCTCATCTAACGCTGTAGCCACAGATTGTGCAAAGCTGGCTTTGCACGGAGTGAGGATTAATTCCACTCACTCTACCATGGTTTGTTCCTACTTGATCAGTCATTTTTCGAACCAGCGCACTCCTAATTGAGCAGCTGTTTCATCAGCGAGAAGTTGCCAACAGCTCTCAGCGTGCCTTATTCAATCGCATTTGCAAACTTCTATTTTGACGACGCTATGGCTTGCTATATTCGACTAGTGATGTTTATAGGTAGTAGCGAACAAGCCGTCGCCTTTCTCTTCATGGTCCTTTTTTACATCACCGTTCACCTCACAACACAAACACATAATACCTTTATTTGTTGTTACCCTTCAAATTGTATATTTCTAAAGCTCAAGAAATCAAGTGATCTACGGAATTGGATGAGACGTATATCAAAGTAAAAGCGAGACAACGAGAGTAATACTGAGATCCACAACACAGGGATGAGGCAAAGTTGCAAAAAATTAGAGATGGACGTTTTAGAAAATAGCCTGAGTTATTTGTTTAAGTTGATCATCGTAGGTGAAGTGATGGGCAGCAAACAGATCAGAAGAGTAGAAGGCCTTCACGTTTTCAATCTTGAATTGCTGGGCCTAAAAGAACATACTTCACTGTAAACAACAATCTTGCACTAATAGAGAGACAAACCTTGTCGATAAAGTCCGACTCCGCTATAGCAACCGATGCCACATTGCTTCCTTTGCCTCTAGCAGCTTCATAATGCATTTGCTCCTTTACGAGCTGCTTGAGTATGAACAGGAGCAACTCGCTAGAAGAGCGGTTCGCCGTGAGATATTTCGAGAAAGTCTGCAATGCAGCGGATTATCAAAAAAAAAAAAAAAAAAAACTCCTAAATTCTGCCCTATCCCAAAAATGATCTGAATGAAACGGTTGCAATATCAAGCAACAATGGAAAAACCTTTCTCATTTGACGCATTATGGAAGCCTTCTGCGTGTTTATGAAGCTTTCAAGCATAATTCGCGTCGCAGCTTGCACATCCTCGTCGTTCACAAACCTAAATCGATTCTCTGTTAAGGATAAAGACAAAAAATAGATTGAAAGGACTGGGACATATAACGGGATGTTTTGACTAACGCTCTTAAGTGTAATTTTGCATGCGCCTCAGACAAACGGATCATCGATTCAACATGACGAACGGTGATTGCAACTGATCCGGTGGCCTGTAATTAGCTCAATGGTACTTCTTTCTAACCCGATTTCCATTCAATAATTCAGAGGAAAGACCACTCTCACCATACTCTGCTTCCTCATTTGAGCAAAAACTGAAGCGAGCTTCTCAGAGTGTCTTTGTTGAAGAGTTGGATGGCAGTTCTCTCTGGCAAATATAATATACTTCCTCAGTAAATCCTGAGGCACCAAAGCCACTCCAGTTCGAGCATCAACACCACTCTGAAGCGACGAGTTTCCATTACTCAACTTGTAGTTAAGAGGAATAATTAGTACTATCAATTGAATTAGGAAATTCAAGTGCAACACACCTCTTCGCTCGTTTCGTCCTCACTAGCTTGACGGTTGGGATGTAACTTGATGTGATTTCCGACAACAAATCTCGAAAGCCTGAAAATTTTCGTGATAGAATTAGATTAGATTTTCGTGATTAGAAGTTATTATGGTCGTGCGGCTCATTTTTCTCTATAGAAGTTGGACCTAGTGCTACTTATAATAATTAAGTACTAAAACATTAAGTACAAGACGAATTAAAAAAATTATATAAAAAGTGAGGCGACGGGAAAAATAAATAAAAGTAATAGAAATAATAATATAATAAAACTCCTGATCAAATTAGGAGAGAAGCACTTTGGCCTATCAGGGTTAAGCGTCATACCCGCGGGTAATCTCAACCCAAATTCTGCTAAAAGAATGAGTGCGACAAACCTCTCATCTTCGACCGGGTCCACCGTGTCTCTGATGACACAAAGCACATCAAAACGTGATAGAATAGGTTCCGTAAGATCCACGTTTTCCGCAAATGTACGAGAAGGATTGTACCTACATAAATATTTATGTGGAGAACGTTCGTGCAAAACAATGATTTTGGCTAAACGTAAGTTGTGAATTGCATACCTCCCTCCGATAGGATTGGCAGCTGCAATAACTGTACATCTGGCATGAAGTGAAGTCACGATCCCAGCTTTCGATATAGAAATCGACTGCTGTTCCATTGCCTCGTGAATAGAAGTACGGTCCTGATCCGACATCTTATCAAACTCATCTATCAGACATACTCCCTTATCAGCCAGAACCTTTGAAAATTATTCAATTGGCATTCTGTTCTCCACAAAACTTTCCAAGCTTTGTAGCAATACCATAGCTCCAGCTTCCAGTGTCCATTCTCTAGTAACAGGATGACGTTGTACGTAAGCGGTCAGCCCAACAGCTGAAGCGCCCTGTCCAGTCGTAAGCACTGCACGGGGAGCTGTGTGAGCAGCAAAACGTAGGAATTGCGATTTCGCAGTTCCTGGATCCCCACATAGAAGAACGTTGATGTCACCTGAAGCGGCTTGCTACCATGAAAAAACTTATATTTTCTAGGTATTCTTTTTCAAATAATCTACTTCATAATGACACACCTCTTAATTTATGCTTCTCTCCAGGATTTTTAGACTCTCCGCGGAATAATGCAAGCGCTATGGCTTGTTTCACGTATTCATGACCGTAGATGGATGGAGCGATGGATGCGAATATTCGTTCAGCAATGTGCGGATCTTTAGACAACTCACGTATTGCCTTTAAAACACTATTTTAATATTACCGCCTTATCTTACGAAGCACTTTTGACAGCTCACCTTCACATCATCATCTGTAAGTTGGCTACACGCGAGTTTGTCCTTATTCGAAATATGATTTGCGTGGATGAGTGTGTTGAAGACAGGAAAACCTTGCTTATAATTCAAAGCTCCATCAAAGTTATTGGAATATACTCCAGTTACTTCCTGTCGAAAACAGTAGTTACAAACAATACCGAGTTGAAGTATCACACGAAAAACATTGACATACAATTTCATCGCCAGGCTTGCAGGAATCACATAAATCTCCCAACAATATGCAATCCTTTGAGCGGGGCAAGCGACCAGCAGCTACTTTATTAGGAGATTCCTGTATCGTGATGCGCTGATAGTTATGGTACACAGTCTGAAAATGAAGGAGCTGCTAATCAAAAGGAAACGGGAATTCATTTGTATATCGATATAGACTTACGTTCTCAACATTAAGTTCGAATGGCCCTCTTCCTTGACATGATGGACAAATTGTTGGTTTCACTTCCTCATTTTCGCGTTGTATGAAAGGACCAAGAATGTATCCGCAAGCGACGCAATCGTATTTGACGACGGATAACTGTGGTAAGATCCCTGCAAAAGCGGAGTGAATTAAGCACACTGTTCACACTGGTTGGTAACGTATTAATACCTGTCGCAACAGTAACAACACCACTTGTTTTAATGAACATGTTGAGGTGAATTTGGCGCAGCATACGAATATCTTCTTCGACTGGTAAATTGGATATGCGAACCTAATAAGGTTACGATCAAAGAGGCACACAGTTATGTTAAAGGCACTGTTCACGAAAAAATGGTTTCGGAGATCTGCACATGGTTTGAATTCGACGCCCCCTCTGATACCATTTGTGCAGGAATGAGGTCGGAAAACGGTCTGGATAGGGCACAATAAGAGCAGGAACAGCGGGGGATGGGAGGCCTCCGCCCCTCGCTAGGCTGACTACGAGTTCTAATTGTCCTTCACTACATTCGCATTGGAGCGAAGTTGTCTGCTTGGGTGTGTTGTCTGCTATTGCAGACATTGCGTCGCCTTCGTGTACTCGCCCGAACACTCCCTTAACCGCCGTTCTTCCAATGTGAAACTCGTCCAACCCCCCTTTCCAGCTCTTTTTTGACCCTTTCTATCTCTTTTTGTTCATCGTTTTTTGCCTTTTTTCGTTGTTATCGCTTTATTCTAGAGTAGTTCTATGAATTCCCGTCAAAAAGGGTACCCTAAATTTGTCGTAAACTGTGCCTTTAAGCAGTAAATCACGACTTCAAAGGAATGGAGATTATTGCATGCAAAGGCAAACCTTTATTTCCGAGCAGACGCGACCATAGTATGGATAAATTGTTAAAACTACATCGGTCGTAGCTTTGTCCAAGATCCTCAGTACCTTAATGGGTAGTCGTAACGAAATGGTATACATATCAGCAATTTGTGGTAGCTGAAACAGCAACACAGCTGTCGGCGACGTTTCTGACCAAACCAATACATGCATGGAGAGGCCTTATCTGTCGTCATTCAATTTTCTCTCTTGACGACTACGATTAACGCAAAGAGCGTCAACCAGCTCCGTCGGAGAGGGTTCACCATGAGGTGAAATCCGAAAAGAGGAGCTGTGTCATCAATGACAACGGCTACTATCTTGGATCATTACTATGCCAGACACACCTGAACGGGAGCTTCCGGTAGAAAGTAGCAGATGTTCGGTTCTCCGCTGTCATCTGCAAGGTCCCGGAAATCGACTTCTAAAGACTCCTTGTTTTCAGAGGCCATCTGACTCATAGCCTGCAAAAATTTCAAGGTTATCTCTAGACCTACTTTATATTGGAAACAAGAAAATAAAAGAACCGCTAAGCACCTTCAAATACTTTGCTTTTCGCGTGACCGGATCTTTGAATGCCCGGAGGAAATTCTTGAACCTATAAACATAAGCAAGGTATAGATTCAAACATTCAACCCATCATTGAAAGATCGAATTTTGACATGTCCCTACCTTCTCTCTATCTCTCTCGCCACAGCTTCATCAGAAACATGGTCCTTCGTTGAGCGACCTCTCAAATTCTCCAGGATATCAATGGGCATTTCTTCGACCATCTCTTCACCTTCACCAGCTCCTTCTTCGGCTACAGCACGCCGTCTTTTTCGTCTCCTCTACAGATTCGCGGGTAATTGGAATTCGAATGAATGTGCATGAAAATAGAGCAAAGATTCACGGTTATCAACCGCACAAACCTGTTCTTCATCTCCTTCCTCATAGAATAGCGCATCCTCGTCTAGCAGCTGATCTCTTTCTGCCATTTCCCTTTCAGCAGCCAGCCGTCCACTTATAGATAATTCATCTATGTCTGAAGCGTCGTCCATTCCAGACTCGGAGTATATGTCGAGCTCGGGCTGAGCCCGGTAGTCTCTGGAACAGGAGCTCTTTCATCATCGAAGAAGCCAGAAACTACGAGATGTAGAAAGTGGTAAACAATACCTTTCCATATCATCTCCGAACAAATTTTCGCCTTCTTCGTCTTCAACATCTTCATTTTCATTATTGAATAACTCATCTATGACATCCTCTTCCTCATAACGCTGACTTTGAGGCTCTAAAAGATGATAACTTACGCGTATAAGGCAAACTACTATTTCAGTGATGTTGGTACCAGTACACATGCCAAAACAATGCGACCAAAGCTTTCAGCTTTAACAACTTTCTTGATCCAGACATCCTGTCCTCATTTAAGGGACTCAGCAGGGCGTAAAGTCTTTTCACCTACATTTCATTGGAAGGTAGTTAAGAATCAGAAAATCAAGACCGTCTGGAGCACACACACGGGACATTCCAAGTCACTTGTGCGAAATTAGCAGAAAATTTTGTGAAATTTGGGATCAGAAACCCACTTTATACCGGAATTTTCCACTAAATATGTCGAAAATACGCTAAAATGGGATTCGGCAGCTATTCTTCGAAAGGGAATCAAGGGAGCGACGAAGTTTCAGCAAAAATATTTAAGTGCTTTGGATCGCATACTGGGTTGAAACAAAACTGAAAACAACCAAAACTCTTGAAACTTTCAATAGGCCCGCAAGATCTACAACACGGTAGGCGTTCGAAACAAAATGAAATGTAGAGGACAGCAAGAAACTCACCACTTCGCTCTGCGGGTTCATCATTCTCGCGTCTGGATGACATTTCAGAGAAGTGGAATTCAAACTGAAATGATTGCGATAAATAAAAATCAAGGCAGATCCTTGTTACACAAATACAAAAGCCCGAAAACTAATCGCAGACTCGTCACCACTAACTGTGCCAATTCAAAAGTAGAATTTTACCGCCCGCTCGACTTCGGTTACGTGACTACTTGAACTTTCTCTGCATCTCTGACGGCAAGAGGCTAGAGCCCAGAGAAAAACACCCCGGGTGAAGCCTACGGCGGTGGTGGTGGGGGCCCCATTGGACAGGCGAGCACAACACTCAAAGAACACATTAAACGGGAGTGCGCCAGACGAGGGCAGAAAAATGACGCATTTGGCAAATTTAAAGGAACCGAGTTCAAGTAGTCCGTAGGCCCTCGACTTTGAGCAGTGTTTGCGCTACAGGACCTGAGACGGTGTAGGAGGTGGGGGTCCTTTAGAGCGTGCAGGTGTGGGGAAGCGAGAGCAAGTAACCCCGTGGAGAACATTTGTAGATGTATATCTTCAGCCTAAAAAAGGTCCTAATTGGATTGATTCAAACTGAAAGCAGAGATATCTGCACTAAGTGCAGGTATAACGGCACCTTCAAACGTACACCAGGACTACCGCAATGGAGAACTCGGAAACAAATTCCATCATGTTGGAAACGACGTGTTTTCTCGATGAATGATGGAAAGATCGAACTCTCCAAATGTCTACTTGGGCAAAAACAGCTAAGGAGCTGTTTAGCAGTGCCTGTAAGCGTTGCGCTGATGACAATTTAGTTCCTATTACTGATTTTTGTTTGTTAATTGATTTTTGATCCAGTTAGCTCATCAACACTTTCTGACAATGTTCCGTTCGTAATAAACACACCTCCCAGCTGCCCCACGCCCACCGCCGCATGCCGCATGGACGAGTTATCGCGTAAACGCGCTAAGCAACAGCATTTGAATTTCGTGCGACGCTGCTGTAGAATTTCCACATAGTCCTTTATTTTTGTTGGTAAACAGTTGCTCCAGAGGTGACTCTTTCCTACTCAACATCATTGAGCATTTTACACTTCACATTCAGAATGAGAAGGCCCGACGTGAAGGGTTACTCCAGGCGAAGGCGATCCAGCGAAATTGCTGAAGTGGAAAATTCTCCTAAGGTAAGCAATATCTTATGTTTTAATTCATTCATCGCTTTCTGTGTTCCCCAGAATTAAGAAAATGTAGCATGCGTTTCATTCGGTGAAAATGCATTTTTATCAATTCGGCTAGTGTATGTTTATGAAGATTTTTGTCGTATTTGTATGCAACGGAAAACCACATTAGACTATACCTTGTGCAACGATTCAAAACTGAAGATGCATCAGAGAAAGTAGGAGCATCAGCTTATAAAGAAGTGGATTTGTTCTTTATTTACTGCCTGCACATTTCATAATAATCCAATTTTCCAATAAAAAATCCAGTCGCAACTTGTATGAATAAAATGGCCTTATTTGAGTCCTTAATTGGTCTTTTCTAATCGGTCGTTATTCAATCGGTTCTAACTTCTCAAAGTTGGCATTTCAGCGCAGAAGATCAAGCGATCCAGCTAACATCACTGTTCCAGTCAGTCGCCCATTTTCACCTGCTACTTTAGCTAGAAAAGTTTGTTTTTCTCAGGATAGAGTACATTTTCTTATTGATTTCGTGTTACTGTAACAAAAAGAATGATTGATCAAGAAATTTGCATGAACAGTGAGTAAGAGCCATAACTTTAAGCTTGATGAATTACGTGAAGACATATTATCCGATGCTGTGGACCAGCTATCAGCTGTTGAATTGCGAGGCTTTGACAATAAGGTTTGATACAGCTTGAACCCTTCGCTTTTTATATTCGAGTCTTATTCGTAGATATACGTAAAATTTAGGTGGAAACGGAGGAAGAGTACTTGAAGAGACGTGAAGAAGTGCGTCGTCAGTTGAGCAACCCAGATGGATTCGATGCGAACGGAAGAACTGAGTTAAACTACGATGCTGCTGCAATTGCAGGCGCGAAACTGCTGATTGATGAGACTCGGGCAACAAGAAGCATATGTAAAAAGTTGGTATCAAAAGCAAAACCATCTAGAAGTCATAATGCCATAAAAATCAAGGACAGTAATCACATTTTGGTCGTTGCCTCGCAAAACTGATATTGATATTACATGAGCGATGTTAAGTCTTCAACTAACACATCTGTCTCAGCTCACTTAGCATCTCGAAGCTGTGATCGAAATAGTTATCAGTAGTAGCGGATTTTGATCACTTTTTAAGGCTGCTGGAAGACTGCGGAATCGATGAAGATGAAATTTTGTATAAACCGCTTTCGTATAATGAAGGAACTGAATTCCAGTCGGCGAAGTATCTTGCGGAGTAAGTCTTTCGGCTATAACTATGAATTCACTTTGTGAATCTAATGCACGTGATTCAGCTCAAGACAAGCGTCCGTGGTGGAAACGCTGGTGGATTTTCAAAAACAGATAAAATTGAAGTCCGAGGTCCTCAGTTGCGTTGCAATGCGAGGCAGTATGTTTCCTACATCCCTACATTTTACTTTAAGCTAAATGAAAGCTTAGTTCATATGCATGGTTTGCTTCCTCATTAACTCAAATCCTTTCTCAATAGGCAATTGCTCCAATAGGCATCTTTAAACTTTCCCACTATCTGAAACTTGATTGGCGCTTTCGCCACATTCACACTTTACAAAGTTCGGATTGCTTTATGTAACCTTCTCAGAAATACTTGATTTTTATAAACACTGACTGCTTTTTTTCAGATGAAATATCGAAGTCAGATGGTCGACTTACTCGCCGAGCTCGTGAAGAAGAAGAACGTGAGATCATGAAAGCCAATGCGAAAGCAGCAAAGAACAAGAAGATCCTCCTTATGCGTACCCCATCAAAAAATCCTCAATTAAATCCACTCGACGAAAAGAAGGTAAGCGTAACAAGGTGGATTTTTCCAAAACGCGTGATCTGCTTGTTGTTGATATGGCAAGTATTTGATATGAAATAACTGTTTTTCAGATTATCGAAAAGTACGCATTGGAAGTTGCATCTGAAGTACGCGACAATAGGAAACGCCGTCGTATCGCTCCTGTCCCTTTTGATATTACACTACTGGATGATATTGACTATAACTTCAGTGGTCCGGTATAGTAAGAGTGAAACTATTTCAGAATGCTACTTGCCCGTTTAACGCAGTACTTTGTATATAACTGTCAAAAAGATAGCTATAACTTTGGGCGCTATCCCCCAAGTGGGTAGTTGCATTGTTTTGTGGAAGGCCCGCAGTGAATCTCATTAGCATTGTCATTCTATTCAGTTCAGTTGTCATTGTCATGGATCTTCACGTCTGTCATTTATTACTTTTGATCTTGTCCGGTACGTTTCATGCTAGACAGGGCCATGTGCGGTAACTCGCTTACCCTTGCCGTTGCGTGCGTGCGTGTGCTTTACAGCGAGTATGCATGGTTCCCAATCGTTCGTGGATATTACGTGTACAGTTGAGAAAAATTTTTGGTACGCTGTTAATACATTGAAGAATAAACACTTAAAGTATATACTATTAATGTAACCATTACAAGCGTTAATTACCGACTGAAGATTTGCAACATTTTTCCTCTGGAGAACTGCCGAGCTGAAATACACGAATTAGTAAGTACGTAAAGACGTATAAAACTTCAAGACTTGACAACCTTCTTCTATTCCTAAGCTGTATGCAGTGTTTTGAACATTTTTTATGTAATCAGCTAGTTGATCTGGAGTCAAGCGACCGAGTTCTGCAAAGGATATTTTGAAAAGAACCGATGAAGGAGATCTCACTCCTTGGACGCATGGATCAGGTGAGCGAGCCGCTGATGTCATCAAGGTAAAATAGCTCAACATTGGATAGATACGTTTTTTGGAACGTCACTTTGCGCTTCGAAGGATTTTTACAAGAAGATATTATTGTTAACTAACCATTTTACATAATAATGGCAGACTAAAGAACGCGTAAGCGCGACTTCGCACTCCAGCAGATAACGAATTTCATGTTTCAACTTTTAGATATGTACAAAAAATGCTTATTTTTTAGACCGCACAATAACGCTCGAGTGTAATGGAGGGATCAAAAGGCGGAGATTAGAGCTTCAGAAAGAACTCACTTTTCAGAGTCGAGTCAGATCAAAGCAGAATTCTGCGAAACTCACGAGCGTTCCAAGTGAAGAAGCACTGGGTTAGTAGTTCTGATGAAATCGACCGGCCTAGTGCNCCCCCCCCCCCCCCCCCCTCGACTCCTTAACAGTTTGTAACAACATGTTGTGATAATCGAGAATAATTTTACACCGTTCTGAAAAGGATTCGTAAAACTTCGTGAATACCGGCGTTCGAAACATTTCTATCTCGCTCTAGAATGCATAAGGAGCTAGCTAGCTTCTTCTTAATTCTGCTACATTCGTTCGTGCGCGACGTCGCCCTCGTCGCAAAGCAACCGTCTCGCTTCAACTGCACCACACCCGTCCCCTCCAACCAAGCCTTTTCACCAAATTGAAATCTCACATTGGTGCTATTTAACCATTAGCTGGATTTATTATTGGTGAACTATGAAGTCTCACTACACTATAAATCGCTATAAAGAGTTGCAAAGTAGCAAAAAACGGCAACATACCATTGACCAGCTTAACATCATCCGGTGAGAGGTCGGTGCGAAATGACCTTTGTTTACTTGGCAACATTCCCTGCAAAGGCTAGGATCAGGCAGAAATTCTGTTCAATCTCGTAAATGAACTAAACTAAACTAAAATGTTGCTGTCTTTTATAACAGCAGTTACTCTCAGGAGCGAAGGCTAGTCATTTATAAGAAATGTTCAACTGCAGAAAAAAATCCTTTCAGAACTATTGCTGAATGAAAATTCATCAACCGCACACCACATCCCATCACAGGCGTTTGCTATACTCGTTATTACTACTTTCGATAGAACCCATTATCGTCGGTTTGAGATCGGGCTATATAGAGTACCTGTCAGATACCCTGACTAAGAAATGAACATTGTATATTCTTCGAAAAGCCGAAAGCGATTGGTAACCCGATCTTTTCCCAAGCAAGATTTATAAAAATACCGTTGATTAAGGCTGGGTGAGAAAGTGAGGCATAACTAGCACTACACCCTACAGCACGTGCCGAAATAGCAGGTAAACATGGTATGTTCCCCATTCAATGCTCAATCATTCTGAAAGATAAACTGTAGTCTGTATTAACATAAGTATATAGGAAGAAGGTTGGGTTTTATGTTAGCGAATCTTGGCGAATATAAAACTCAAATAAACTCAAACTAAAGTTCCTTTCGAATACAGTTTTTTTCGTTGGTATCGAAGTTTTGCGTGTATCCTACGTTGCTCGGATTTAGAGCCACTAACTTATCAACCTCCTGTCAACCATTCTGTCATAATACCTGTGTTTTCACAAAGATAGGAAGAAATTGGGGCTTTTCATGTTGTTGGATACCTTAGTCGAAAAACAGCAACTTTACTAAACTACTAACCTCGTTCACCCATAAGTGTTAGAGGATGCAACTAGGACCCTGATGCCAATTCCCCTATTAGAGGTGAGATCTCATGTTGAGTTCAACTTTCGTGCTCCAAGCAACAGAAGACTGGTGCATTGCCTTGATTTACCCTTATATGTGAGTCAAGTTCGGACCCGGATGAAACTGCCAGCCTCGGAAATGACTGAATGTAGTTCCATTCGAATGAATGAAGGACGTAGGACACAAGTCGTTACTGAGGGATACTCTTACTATGGAACTCAGCAGAGGTTGAAATTCGTTCACAAAACTGGATTCAATCATGGAAAGAAGACTGGCCTCTTAGCAAATGCCGAAATGTAGATCCAACAGCATTTCGACTTTATTTTTTTTCAGAATTTAGATGTTTATCGATGAGCAAAAATGCAACCTCGACGGTTTGAATGAATTTTGCCAAAAGTTTTTTTTTAAATTGTATCTACATTTCTCGCGGTAAGTTAATGGCTCAGAAAATATCGCATTGCTACTAAATTCATAATAGAACTTGCCCCAGGACTGGCTCGGTGTTCATTTTCCTTTTTGATATACCGCCTGAATTTCCGAAACGGTCTTTATTACAACATGCAACCAAAAAAAAGTGGTGCCTGAAGAAATTAGTCCAAAAGTTAACCGATGAAGGTTTGTATAGTGAAAGCCTCACAAAAAAATCATCCGAAACAGAAGCAAGCCCCATGTTAAGTGGGAGATGCCATCAGGCGAAAATCAAAGTGTTGCCTACAACAAAATTGTTCACATACTCCTGGCGCATGTATAGGATCTAGCGATCGACAAGGGATTGTACAAATCAGTTCCACATGTTGGAAACGCCGAATTGCAAGATATCAATGAGGACAAGTAAGCCAAACAATACGTAAAATGGATCATGTTTCAACTCACGTCATGTTCAGTGTTGACCTTAGCCGCTCCTGGCACGTTTTCAGGAAAAAGAACTGGAGAAGGTGCACGTTGAAGGGATTCACCGCATGTCAGTGCACCAGACTGATTATTAGTTCGAGTGGAGTTCATCTGCAACTATTAATAAAGATAGTGTCAACTATGACCATTTCACGAGTGTTTGGTAACATAATGAAACTTAAAATGAGAAATTTTTCATTGGAAACAATTCAAATCTGTTCGAATCTCGAATTTTTTTTCATACCCTGCGATGTATGAAGCTTGAGATTGAAAAGGTTGTCCATTTTCTATCACTGGGCAATATAGCAACGTATATTAACCCAAAATAATTCATTCACTTATCTACTAGTCATTTGCAGTAGGAACTTGCAAATGATTTGAGCAATAACCAGTCGGATTGCCCGCTAAGGTCAGGCTTTTGCCCCTTCCACTAGAAGACCAGCGTCTCTCAAGACTTTGGCATTCTCCATCTCAATCCAAGTGATTTAACATATTAAATATGCAATTATTCACTCTGTGGACTGATTGCAGATTTCAACTACTGACCGACCGGCCAACGTAGCTCCCTGTCCAGTGGGACAACACTGGCCAGATGGATGCAATCTATCCAGCGTTGTCATCACATGGACGTCGATAGGTCGGTCGGTCGTGAAGTCTGAAAGCAGTCAGCGGGTGCATTCATACTAGATTCCGTGGACGGCACCTCGTTGCGATGGACGGTCCACACGTGGCCAGCAACACCGTCAAAAAAGCAGGGGTCGCTGCTTTTTTGACGGTGTTGCTGGCCACGTGTGGACAATATTGAACACTTGTGGATTCCGGTCACGCGGCCCTGAACGCAATTTGTCCTGCGTTGTCAAAATGCCGTCGGTCGCTTGGTCGGTTGTTGAAATATTGCGCGTCGCGGAACTCTGAAAGCACCAATTCTGTAAGTCAAAGAAGACGACCACAGCATTTGTGAAATCATCAAAATTGGCGAAATTCCTTCCGGCCAGGGCCTGCTAACACCTTTTTAGGCACAAAAGTGCAGGGAAAGTTAAGGATGGCATTTTCTGCAACCTGGTAAAAAAAAGAAATGAGAAAAGGGGGTGCAAATTGCGACTGGATTTGCTTAAAGGTCACGAAAAACATCATAAGTTTTACTAGTCTGCAAGTCAATGTAGTTATCCAGATACTAAACATGAGATCAGGAGAATTCTAACAGACACACATCGTTATGTATCCAGAGCAGACTGGTTTTCCATCACTGACAGCACTTTGCCCTACATGTGACTGGTGAGTATAGCGACTTTACTGAAGGACAACAGGCAGTCAGTCATGCGCACCTCTCATCATATCGATCGGTCACTGTCATTCTCTCACAGTTCTTCATCATTTCCCCTTACATCGTGTTATAAAGGCTAATATTTATTAGGTCTTACTTCACAGTCTTTCATGGATTGGTTCAGGGAAATTGGCAGTACAGGCAGGCATTTCATATCTCAAAATCAAAAAGTAAAAAAAAATTGTTACAGTACCGTTAAAACATTCCACAGTCGCTTAGATGGTATTGAGGCTACGAATAATCACGTGGGTAATGAATTGAAAGCTCTTGCGGGGTCACGATTCTCATACGAAGTCTCCATTGTTAAGAAGTCTTTTACACGCCTGTTCTTTATCCATTTTAATAAAACTTGTATTATTTAGAAAGGAGAGTAAAAGGAAAATTATCTGAAATTCTTGCCTCCCAGTACAAACCGTGAATATCCCCTTACTTTTAAGGGAGAAAAATAACATGATTTTTTCTTTTCTCTGAGCTCACAACACAAAAAAAAGCAGTAGAAAATGGTCAAGACGGCTGTATTAATGAAAAAAGAAATAACTCTCATAGTTTTACTGCGGCGGTGGTAAAAAGAAGACGAACAGTTAGAGATAGGATCAAAAATTGCAAGGGAGGAAAACAATGAACTTTATAGGGGATCTTTGGAAATCGAGTCCAAGAATCGTTGAATTCGAGCACGAATCCTGATGTGGAGCGCGCTTTGCTGGATTTTTCTCTGGCAAGCAGGGGACGGCAGATTTGATAGCAACACAGTTTGAGAGCCAGATGGAAACACTCACTATTTGATTGAGATTGTTGAAAAGGGACGACCGCAGCATTGAGACCCCCGTCGTACTGTAGAGAATATGATTTTACAGCTCTGATCCATTTTGATTACCTTGTATCTGTTCCATAAGATAACGATTAAGATCATTTTCCTTTTAACAGCTGTGCAAATGATTCAGGACAAACCTGCTCCATGAGCTTGGTAAGCTACACCGCGGTTCCTGACAATCACCAGGAATCCTGCGAAGAGCCGACGGTTAACCCTGACAGATGTGATGATAGAGACCTTATCGCTGAAGAGTCAGTCCGTGGGTAGGTTTGCATCTCAAACTGCTGAAGGTGCCCGACTCAAACTTATGGATTACAGATCTTCAATACCTATCGCCTTTCGAGAAATCCTAATCGACCTTAACCTCCGCAGAAACCAACGAATTTTCTGTATCGGTATGTTTCTTACAAAGTTCGGATCAAAATGATAAAATTTTCCTCAATTCGAATTCGGCTACTCTCATTAAAGGATATCAGTCGTGTTAAAGGCACAGTTCACCACGATTTTGGGCTGTTTGGTTTTAGACGAATATTGGAAGTGATAGTCTAGAGAAGAAGTGGCAGGGCATTTGGAGAGCTATCCAAATGTGTGTGCCACTGCGTGCAGCTGAATACAGTAAGCTAGCTGCCTGTGTGCAACGTGCGCATCCCGGTGCGAATGGTGCATCCACTACAACCTCTACAAGAGCGTGATAACTCGTCCGCCTTTGGGTGTGTTCGTCGGCTAAGCCAGTTTGGAGCCCTTATCACGCCTTCTATACGCACCTACGTTATGGTCGAACCGCAAGCCTACGTTATGCTATCCTTGGCAATTAGAAGTCCATTCCATACACCAACTTCAGAAACGATTTTCATCGTGAACTACGCCTTTAAGTGACAGTTCTTTCTATCTGAACCCATACCATGCAAAGTGGCTGCAAAATCCTGAAGTTATAAGGATTCCCTTGATTCATTCATCAATTTTCAGGTACTTCACTGTTGTTGTCCGCCATTTTCCTGCTCCTTTTCGTATTCATGCTGATTTGCTTCAATCATGTTATGAATAAGTTAACTTTACAACAGTATCAGAACAACCAAGGTACTATGGGCTCTTTGTGTGGGTGTCATAATGATTGAGTTGCATATTGTAGTGCTTGATCATAGGACTGCACATGATACCGGACTATGACACACGTACAGGCAATGGCATTCTAAGCCTAGCACGAGACAAGGTGGCAAAGGAACGCTATGTGGAGATCATTCAGGATTATATTGAAGGTGAATTTCAGGAGCATGCTTCAGCTTTGAGCACATGCTCCCCTGTGCTGTAGCGGGGTTACCTTGGACAAACGGCAAAGATAGTCATGCTCATTACGGAATCGCCGTCGGTTTTTGATTGATGCGAAGCATACAAAAAAAAGAATACTTGAGAAGTTTGTTTTGGTGCTTTGTTAAGCGCTGTTATTCCACCGTAGCACGCGGTCCGATAGTCTCACAAGGTTGTCGATTTGTGGACAAAACATCAGTCTTGCACGGGGCTCGAACCCGCAGTTGTGCTTTCTGGGCACCGTGTTCTACCCCTTACACTACCTAATCACTTTTTGTTAAGCTTACAATAAGGAGCAGTTGTCGCGTGCCAATTTCACAAAGGATTGCACACCGCTCGAAAAGGTATAAATTTTCATTCTGTTCAATGAAAGGCCGCATTTGAAAAATCTCGGCGGGAATCCCATTTTCAGCCAAATGGGGTTTGCCAAGCTGCTATGCTGCGCCTAGATCTTACTTCAGAATAGTGCCTACGTGGGTCTGCGAGGATTTGAATCAGGCAAAGCAGCCCCCCCCCCCCACATAGACTTTCCCTGCTCGGCGTCTAATTAAATAAGAATTTCGTTGCGGGAATAGCAACTATTGGAGAACTTTCTCTTGGGTGTATCTTGAACTGCGGTCTGAAACAGGATCAAGCTTGTCCCGTTAGAAAGGGCGACAAGGGGGATGCTCGAGTTGAAGGAGAGAGTCATCTCGGCTGAAGGGGTAGAGGTCAAGTTGCATTATGGTTACCGCTCTCCTACTCGAATATTTGCACGGTAAGGGTCTTTTGGAAAACTTGAAGATTTTCCTGGCGATGCCTTTTTCGCTAGACCATAAATAGTCATGATTCCGAGAGCAGTCTTACAGTTGTTCTAATTTCCCATAAAATCCATCTGTTGGATCCGCTCAGTAATGTTTATATGATTTTTTCTTCTTTTGTTCATGATCAGTGACGAACAGAGTTTGTTTTGACTACAATTATGTATTTCTTATTAATCCAGCCAGCTCATGCGTGGTGCAGATTTCCTCTCGACATTTTCGACGCGGAGGGCTGTAGTGCAAGGAACCGATATGGCTTTGACAATGGGGAGCCTTGCTTCCTTTTCGAGTTGAAGCTGGTGAGTTCAGAAATTCCTTGTAGGAGGACGAAAAGCTTGAAATTGCTTGGCTCGAACTAGATGGGTTTGAATTTCTAGTCAATCAACAAGGTTAAGCCAGCCTAGTTGATCCAAAGCAAGCAGGTCTTGCTGAAAAGCACAGTTCACGATGATTTTTTGTGTAAATAGTTTTAGATGAATAACTGGAGTGAAAGTCTGGAACAGTGCAGAAGTGTCGCAGAAGACGCGAACGTAAATAAACGACTTCAAAAAAGTATCAGAATCAAGGGTAGAACGAGAATGTGACGAGAAAATTTCTCTGGAGTGGCCATTTGGTCGAACTGTCCAAATGGGTGTGCCATTGCGTGCAGCTAGCTACAGTCACCTTCCTGCGCGCAAGATTTGCATCCCGGTACGAATGATGCAATTCCTTCCTGCTTCTACAATACTATCAGGTGTCGGCTAAGCGGTTTTGGGCCATTATTACTTCCTATTGTGGCCATTTTTCGACCCAACAGCGTTCCTTATGCTATCCTTGGGGATCGCAGGTTTGCATCAGAAAAAAAATTCTAGCCTTTTATTGTGGACTAGGAATTAAGCTTAGCAACTGGAGCGGCGAGCTTGCCATAGTCTACTATCGAAAGGACTAGGTAAAAGCTTCAGAACCTAACTTTTTAAAATTTTAGACAGACTATGTTATAGAGCTCGAGGAGTTGAGTTGAACCACATAGCACACTATATATAAAAACTGTAAATCAACCTAGTTACAGAGAAAAATTAAAAACGCGTTTTTTGTGTTTTTTTTTTTGATAATTCAGGGTGGGTACTGTATTTGATATGAAGTGGCGGTAAATAGGAATTTTCTTTCAGCAATCAACTTGGACTCCGATATTCAACCGCCCAAACATCACCGTCTTGCCTTTGAAATGCGATGCGGTAAGGGTTTACGTTTCAGTATCTGACCTTCCATGGTTTCAAACAGAAGCACGTGTATGTCTCTGGTGACATGTGAATTTTAGTACGACCAAATGTCACTGCGAAGGAATACGGAGGTGAAGATCATATCGGCGCTGGGGCACAGCACTCAAGGCGGATTCCCTGTGAATAAGGTAGGTATGGGGGGTGGCAAAGAATACGTAGAGATCAGAATGAGAACCAAAAGTGGGAAAGAATAAATAGCCAGCAAGCTGACTCGGAGACACGGAAAGGTGCCACTCAAAAATCTCTCGTGTTGAGGGGTTGTCTGTAGGCACATTATACTTTCGGTGTTGCAAACTGAGAAACATCAAAGGTGATACCCATGGCTCAACGATGTGCTTGACTCTTTTGCCTATTTTATTATTCACCGAGTTCTAATGCAAATAAAATCACCAAATAATTCTAGATACCATCGAGGGCTATATCGGATAGTGACGGCAGAGACGTGTCTGATGAAAATGGTGAAACTCTCTATGACCAACCGGCCTTGGTAGGTTGTTCAGATTGCCTGCTGCTCTACTTTCTGCAGCCATATTTTGACGGATATTTTGTCACGCTTATAGTTTTGTCCGTTTGCAAGCAGGCGAGTGAAGGAACGACTGTAGTAGATCCAAAGTATCTATACATCTTTCACTCGGAAATCAATTCAACAGTTAGACTGATCCGAAGTGGGACTTATTTGCGACTAAAGTTAAGGAAGTTATGCCGTCAGCACATCCTGGCTAAGAGACATGTTTCTTTGGAAAAACTAAGTTTTGAATATTTGGGGAACTCTGTAAGAGTCATGTGGACATCGCTTGAATGATAAGAGCTCCTAATCGTAATTATTTCAGGCTTTCATGAAGATACGCCTCGACAGGAGTATTCACACCACCGTACGGTGCTCTTTAGCACATTCTACGTCAGACATTTCAGTGCTAAACCTCGCTTCTCTACCCGGAAATCGTGTTGTTAATTTCGAGCTGTTCTATCCTTATGTGCAATAAAAAATTGAATTATCGGTGGAAAATTACGGGAATTCAGGGAAACTGCTGCTGCTCGCAATGGGAATTTCATTAGGAATACCGCCATCTGTGGGAATATCAGGAAAGGGTCAATTTTAAGGCCCGTGGAACACGATCGATGACGGGAAAATGAAAAATAGCGTTGCTGTAAGAGTTTATGGAAGGCTTTGTTTTTCGGTAGCCACTTGCCGATAAAGTGGGCGATTGAGAGACGAAACGAATCTGAATATCTTGTTAGTCAGCTATAGGACAGTAGTATAATCTAATTCGACACATCGTAATAGTACCGCAAAATCCATGTACAGTTTCATTCTTCAGACTATAGCAGCCAGCCCTGAACTCACACTTAACGTCTACCTCTTCGGATCTTCCTATCCGCTCTCGGCTGCAAAGACGGTACACGATGTACTTCTCTAATCTCATGTGAAATCGCCACAAGTATCTCCTCTGGAATCTCGCCGACCCCTGTTCACCTTCCGAAAGCAGAACACAACGGTTACTTCTCCCCATTCACATAGCGTTGTGGTTAAACATCCAATTTTCGTTTATAACTTTTATTTGACTTTGCGCATCAATCTGGATGGTCCCTCATTCTCATTGAAAGCCCCTTCTGACCATTTTCAGAAGCCCTGAGCATAGAAAATCACTAATAAACAGTTTTTTTTTGTAGTCAGAGCTGTAAGTAGCTGACGGAAATGACTAGCGATCCTCATCAACTGTTCGAAAAAAACTTTTCAGATTCAGATTCATTCAGACTTTGACTTCATTCCGTCTAACACAAAATTGAACAGCGTATTCTTGAAAAAAATTCTTTGAGCTATTCGGGCTGCTTCAGGACTATGGAGGCGTCGTTTACCGGGATCTATCGGAGACGATGCAGATTTGAAAAATATTATCTCGCAATTATAGCCGTCGTAGTGTTGCTAATCTACGTGACCTCCAAGGAGAATCGGTGGGTTCTTCTCGGCACTCTAGAAAGTACGGTTGATTCAAATACTAATCGCTCCAAACAGTTTGTTACATAAATTGTGTCATTCCTTTTTCCGAAATGAAGATTTTCCTACATACATATATAAGGCGATTTTGATGATGTCATATACCATTCAGGTGTTTCTTACTTACAGTGTTATACCAGTGTACGCATCAGCATTTTGCTTCTGGAACAGTTACGGTTGGGTTGAGTTTCAGGCGTGAGAAAGTCGAGCCAACGAAATCAGCTAAATCGGTCACAAGCTCTGATTTCCTTAGCGAAAAATCACTCAATCACCCATTCATTCATTGAAGCGCATTTCACGGTAAAAGAAATTTTATCCGAGAACAAACCCTGTGACCCGCAAGGATAGTACATGGGACGTTGTCTGCCCGAAAAATGGCCTATCCAGGGCGTGAGAAGACTGCAAACCGGCTTAGCCACTCCCGAAGACGGACGAGTCTACATAGCGTGGTAGAGGCTGTAGAGGTTGCACACTTCGCATAGGGACGAACACGTTGCACTCAGACAGCTTGCTGTAGCAAGGTATACGCAATGACACACACGTTCGGGCAGCTCGTCCAACCACTCCTTCCATGCAACATTTCCTTCTGATCTCTAACTCTACTTCTTCATTGAAGCCTCAATTTTCTCTAGATAAGAAATTTTCGCGCTTTCTTCACCACTTTTGCAGTATTTGGACTACTGCTTCCATTATTAAGCCTGAACTAGATAACCCGAAATCATCGTGAACAACTGTGTCTTAAAAGTACCAACTTGTACATCGGCTGACCAACGCCATTTCCTATATGTATGTGTACATACGCATTAGAGCAGCCGTTACATTCAATGAATGGAAGTCGAAGGCGGAGGCGGATCCCAAAAACGGGATCGATAGATGCCACAGACTCGATTCATCACTCTTTATGAGCTTGTTTTGAGTGATAGTCGAGATGATTCAAAATCATGAAAATTTTCAGAAAAAATTTATTCGAAAGAGGAAAATCCAACATTACTTAATTCGATCATAAATAATTTATAGTAAAACAGACATTCTTGAAGTTAAATAGATGGTTGACTTTTCTTTTTCTAACCCATCCGTTTTCTATCAATTTCCTTTTCGTCTTTCATTCTCGCTCTAACGAAGTTTTATCCCTTCTCCGAGTTCCATCTTGTGATTATGAAACTAGAAAAATACTTCTGCATCGCCCGCTTTTTATAAGCTTCCAAAGTTTCATTGTAGGTCCAACAGAGTTGATGAAACCGAAAACCGTCATGTCGCATCTCTGGATTCTGCCCCAGCAGGTAATTGTAAACCTATATAAACCTTCTGGTCTTCAGTAATAGAGTCTATTGTTATGTATTGATATGCTTTCTGCTGCAAGGAGGAGTAGAAATGATTGTTTCTCCGTGGCTGTGAGGAGGTTACAACGGAATATCGCTTTAGGTTCCCACGAGCAACATTTGGATTTTCAAGCAAATGCAGGAAGGCTAAAGGACACTATCGCTGATCAATTTCCAGAGTTAGAGAAGGAGTACGATGATCTTAACTGGAAAGAGCAAAAAGGTAATAGCTCTTGGGGCATGATCCCTAGCTGAATTCGTGAAGCGCTCTTTCGAGAGCGGTTCAAATGTCGCTTGAAGGTCCTAACCATGATCAGTTCTATAGGAATTTCCATTCAAAACCCTCGTAAGACAAATGCTTCGTGTCCGTCGCCATAATGGTTTGTTGAGAAATCGCATTTCAGGCTCAGCAGATCATGGAGACCACGGTAATGACATCAGCGCCATACCGTCGAATTGGAGGAAGCATGTTCAGTTCCTGGACGAAATTCCAGTCACGTTAAATACTTCAAATACAACCTCTCAAGGAACGATGGACGAGAAAGCTCCACTTTACAGCAGTGCGACCCCCAATGCTGCAGGAAACTTGACGGTTGCTCCGGCAGAACCGATGGGGAAAGTGCATGAGAAGACTGACGAGGACATACTAGCAGAGGAGTATGCCAATCATTTGGACATAGTCAATGACGGCAACGACGAAGACACTGTCAAACTTCATGAGTTTCAAAATTATCCGGCTGAGGACATTTCCACAAACAATGGAGAGAACTCCGTTGCTAACCTTGATGGAGGTCTGACCACTTCTAATCCTTTGGAGAACGGAAATATCCACGGTGCATCTCCTGCTCAGAGAAGGAATTCACTAAAGATCGAGGTTAATGTGACCATAATTCCTACTGACCCACCAAATTTGAGTGCTGGCATGGGAACCACAGCGATCTTGGAAAGAATCGAATCTGTAGAAACCACTCCCACGGGTCCCGCGAAATTAAAAAGGAAAGAAGCCCGCGACGTTGAAAATAGTGTACAAGTTCCTGCTTAGGTCTATAATTTCGGTAACGGTTAATGACGAAGAGAATAGCAATATTTTAGGCGCAAGCGCAGTATCATCAATGATTGTTCCTTTAGCATCGGTTTTGCGCACTGCGAGATGTGCGGTCTCCAGAACGTCTTTCTGTACATAATTTCTGTTTGAGAAAATTTTTATCCTGTTTAACTCTTGTGCGTGCGTCGAATAAAGGATAAACCACAATTGAAAAATTGTGAGGTTTTTTTCTAAACAACCACTAAGCTAAAAATCATGGCTGGAATACGCGTCAGAGTACGACTGGCACTCACTGTATTGAACCGGTTCTTGGTTGGTTCGTAACAATTTTTTGAGCTCACAGCACCAAGCTAACTGACCTCAACGGCACACTTCACGACAAAAATGGTTTCTCACTTCCTCTCTGGAATGAAAGCGACTCCCATAGCATTAGTTTAGGGCTAGATACCCCAGAATTATCGTGAACTGGGTCTTCAATATGCCCACTCAGCTGTGATCCTGCAAAGCACAGACACCTAGTATCGGCACTTCCCCTGCTCGAAGAGGAGTTTATTGCTTTCTCGTCCCTCTACCTTTCTTATTAGTATATTTCGTCTTTGACTTGAATGAAAGAGCGATAGAACGTATTTGAACACATTTACAGAATACAATTTTCCTTGAAAGAGAAAATCGTTTGCACATGAAACTGTACATCAGCATAATATAAAGCGCAGATTGAAGGACAAGTAAGGTGCATCACTTAAAGAACGATCCTGCCTCAGCACAGCTGGCACTCTCGACCGCAATATTGCATTTTTTGTGCATTCGTGTAGAACGAACTTTGGCAAAATCCATTTTGAACCCAGGTCGGGCAACTGAAAAGCACGAAATTTTTGCAAGTAAAACATTCAACAACGAGGTATGGAACACTTCAAGTATTTTTCTCGAAGCAACTTCTGATCGAAAAGTCAACACAAGAGGAATCGGTAGAAGGGCAGCCTGCATTAACTGCTGGGTACAAGTGATAAGTACGAAAACCCTGCTTTAAGATTAATAATGATCTTGGAATTTTCAATTCTCTTCAACGGTTCTCGAAGGATGGCACAACAGCTTGGTTTTCAAATCTTTTGTTTCTTTAAGGAATGGGAGTCGATTGTGGAGGCTTATTCCTTCAGACAGAACTGATTAACGCCCTCTTTTGCCTATATAATACCATTCTGGGAGAAGTCGTTTGCAAAAAGTTGAAACTGCGAAACAGAAAGAAATCCAAAAGGTCCACATTCCCTCAGGGAAGGCATTCAGGAAATAGAAAGCGGAGCATAGCTTTGGAATCTGATATCATGAGAAAGCCTGTCTGAATTACTCCTATTTATTGTTTTACAGGGCAATTTACTTATTTATTTATGATACGTGGACAAAAGTCACGTGAAGTAAATGCAATATAATCCACTGGCCCGTGACAGAAATAAAACTCGGTGAACAAAAACACATTCTGCAAAAGTAGGTAGGAAGAAATATTGAAGTAGATAAGAAGAAATTCTTAAACAATGCTACAAAGCTTATGCGCTTTAGTTCATTTTAAAGCAGTCGCTCACAGGGGTTCCGAAGGATTATCTGCAGATAATCCAGACTCATGCTTTGACGGACATCCACTTATAAGTGGTCCTCACTAATATTTGAAATGCTCAGCAGTACCACCGAAAAAAGATCAACAATAAAGACTCGGAACAATCTGACAAATGAATTGTAAGAAGCAACAAGTAGAGTTACTCACTTCTGGTTTGATCCACATATGGTACTCGAACCTGAAAGGAGCAATTTATAAGAGTTACACAGCTTGACAGATGTCTGCCATCAGTCCTTACACAAAATAAGACTTTTGATCTGGAGGAGTTCTACTTTTACCGCTGATAGCACACAGTATATTTTCACCACTATCGAAATGGGGTTCACGCACCGTACAACACATCGTGTGCGGGAGGTGGGTGACAAATTCACTTCGGCTGTTGGTTACTCTTGTCATAGCCAGTATTATTGCTGTTAGTTACTTGAACAAAGACATTTGTATCTGGAAGCCCTAAGAAAATAGTCTATGGCCGTAAGGGGACTGCACAAGGAAGTTAATGACCATCTTTGCCCCCCAAAAATCACTTTGCACGTTTGTAATGCGCCAAAACACTGATAAAATCTACAGTTTCATTTCAAGCAAAACCAAAATGAAAGGATGTTTTCCCCTCCTGACATCCCTCCCCGCTACTCACTCAGAGGCTGTCACTTATGTAGTGATTAGCACCTACCTTGTGGTCCTGGGTAGATTCCAGGAACTTGAGTCCAGGGAATCGATGTAGTCGATGAGGTATTACATAGTCCGCATGTCCTTTTGCAATATTTCTACGAATATGAATATTATAGATTGTTAGAAATCAGTTTTGTGCTCTAGGAGAAAGTACAAGGTTGGAATCTGCTCACCTGTACAAATGACTGCAGGTTAATACTCTGACAAATGAATGCATTATCTAAGTTGCAGCCTGGTGCTTCATCGACACAAGAACCGGAAATTCAGAGCTCCCATTGAACCGATGTGAAAAAATTAGAAAGTGCATTTCATTACACCGTTGAATTCGTATGTATATAAACCGATAAACTACCTACACGATAAGCTTTTGCTCACAGACGGGTCGGGTATCAATTAGTCGACCCTTTGAGTGGCCTGGGCGGATATTCAACCAGGATTCCCAACTGTGGCCATGCGTGTGTGATGGTGCGCCACCTGCCTCTACTCTTGGCAGATAAAGGATAAAGGATAAAGTTTTTGGCGTTAATCAATCCCGTCTGAGGGATGCGCCCCCGCACTCGACTTCCATTCAGAATCGTAGTGGCGTAATGAGTGCATATGTGGCCTATACAATGACCTGCGGTGGCCAGCCGATGTACAAGTCAGTGCTTTTATCCTCCCAGGCGAGCCTGGTACCAATTCACCGACCCCGGGGGGATGGAAGGTTGGTTGGCCTGGGCGGGCATCGATCCGGGATTCGAACCCCTGACCGTGCGTGTGATATAGTGCGCCACTTGCCACTACACCACCTCCGCGACATAGTGGTGACCGCTGGACCGGGACGCTTCCTGACTGGACCCCTCCCTCCCCNTCCCCCCCCCCCCCCCCCCCCCCCCCCCCCCCCCCCCCTCCCACGAGGAGCACGCTCTGTCCCGTGTCCCTCGAGCTACAACGATCAAACGGACTACGATGGCTCGCGACAGGGATGAATGGAGACGGTATCGGCGCCCGCTCGAGAAAATCAATGATCAACGGGACGACAGGTAATACAGATGATCCAAGCAGGTCCCCTATTGATTGCACCAACTGAGCCTTCTGTCCCCCTCGATTTCTACCTGACTCGTCTAGGAGGATGAAAGCACTGACTTATACATCTACTGGACACTGCAAGCGATCGTGTAGGCCACTTGATTCCAAATGGAAATCGAATCCGGGAGCGCACTCCTCGGAAGAGATTGATTAAGGCCAAAGACTTCATAATTTATCTTTTATCAAGGTCCAAGCTGAGCTGGTGCAAGCTATCAAGCTCGATTAAGTGTTTCAGCTTTCTGAAGAGAAAATTAAATAGCGGCATTTCTACTTCAATGCTGAGTCCACAGTTATCATTGATCGTTGTCCCGACCAGTGAACCCCTCTCCGACTGGTTTGACAAATCCTAGTAAAAACCAAATGTAACGATAAAGAAAGGAAATTAGTGGCAGTAAATGTTAACCAAAGAGGCACCTCCACACCTATAACAATCCATGCATACCTGAATCACAGAAACCACATACGTTCGGGCAATCCTCCGTTAGAATAGTTTTCCAGGCCTGACTCTCGCACATTTCTTCCGTCACAGATGAGCATGGTACTCGCGGTTCTAAAACAAAGCTTGGAATTTCAGTTGAATCCGCACTTAGATGGGACACCAATTCTCCTCGATGCAATCATTGAGAGAGTTCCTACGCACGGAACAAGAATTTGTGCCCAGGGTCTTGCCACGCTCGCCGCACCCGCAGGGTGCTTCGGTAATGGAATTAGCGACTAGAGTCGGCAATGAATGGGTAGTTTCAGACTGATTGAGTGGTAATTCCAGTGGGTGAATACTGTGGTTGCAGTCTGCAGCTACAAGACTACCATCAAGGATCAGCCGCTTGCGTGCGAGCGTGAGATTTTCGGCATAAATTCCGCAACTAGTACTCACGCTGCTTGTTTTGACACAAGAAGGCAGGCGTAAGGCAGCAGTAACCACATGTCTTTGGACAGGTGTCGATAGCCGCCTGAACCAACTGAGGATCCTGAATCAACGAACTCATTTATCATTTCAATCATAGCACACGAGTCCACGGTCCACCAGCGGTCCAACAGTATAGTCAAGTCACTCACTGGGGGATTTCCTCCACACTTTGCATTTCGCTCGTTCTCCGTGTTATATTCCACTGCAGCTTCGTAGAGGATGAGACAATTGGCGTCTGAGATTTTATTACGGCAATTCACGGCCGATTCGGCATACTGAAAAAGCCTCAAGCATAAATATCTAGGCATTTCAAGAGTGACTATGGGGAATGAGATTGCTATATAAATAGAGCCCTGGAGCCAAACTTGGTTCTAGAACTTTGGGGGAGAGTCGACAACGTTCACTAAAAACTGAGTCCATTATGGTAGACTTCAGGAATTTTTGATGGATGAGACCTCTACTGAAGTAATCGAATGAGTAACCACTGTACACGTATGGACCAGGACGTTAAGGTTGATGGTTAAAACAATGGCTTACTAATGTGCTTCGATTCGCTGAAATGAGATCCCATTATGAAGAAACACCTATTGAAAGAATAAGCACAGACAAGACTAACCTACCACCACTAGGCTAACCGTAGGAGGGACTTCTGAAGATTAAGAGTTTCCTTGGATTCATTTGTGTCCACAATAATTCACCTCGTAGGATATATGGTTATTTCAGTTCTTAGTCAACAGCTAACCTTAAAGACTCCATCGACAAAATTCGTACAATTCAGATCAGTGATTCCCGCTTGAACGTCGTCACAAGCCAGGGATAAGAACAGCAAAATGAAGAGCATTACTCCTGGAACATTTCAAATTCACCAGATCTACTAAATTAATGAAACGAAGAGAATGGCGAGGGACAGCCAGTCAAACTTTTATACCGTTCACGGCCATTCCATTCCGATCATTTCGCTCTAAGAAATGTAGCAGCTGCGCACTCGCGACAGATTTGCGCCATCACCATATTCATTGTTCCTGCTGTTACAATGACAGTTACTGCCATAGCCCGAAATCTTTGCATAGCTGTTTGCACTCTGTGAGTCAGAATTATGTGGTAGGGAACTGTACCATTATGTTCGCAGTCAAATTTTTCGATTTCAGTCTCGCGAACAACTTGATGTTTCGCCCATCGTTTTAATCAACTTTTGTGTTTTCCCTGTTTGCTTCGTATTCCTACTATAAAATTGAACGATTTGAACTCTACTAGATGTATTTCTGCGACGGGACTTGCGCTGTAGCCTCCGCTTCCTTCGTTTCCAGCATTTTCCACTTTCTTACACTATTTTCACAGCTTCTGAGGTGCTTCTTCAGCCCTCTTACACTTAACATACAGAAACTTTATTCTTGGCGTTACTTACTGATAGTGGTGTGCTCTCCAGAATTCCCTATGCACAACACATCGTATTTATTTGTAAAAGAGAGTTTCGCCGATCCGTATAAGTTTTTAAAAGCTATTAGGCTGTTCAGGAAGGGCGGAGGTGATGTAGTGTCAAGTAGCGCCTACGCATGGTTCACGGTTTGAATCCTGGATCGATTCCCGCCTGAACCAACCAAGCCTTCCATCCTTCCTGGGTCGTTCATTTGGTATCAAATTCCTTGGGAGGATAGAACCATTGAGCTGCATATCGGCTGGCCATTGCAAGTTATTGTATGGGTCACATAAGCATTCGAAACTGCTACTATTCTGAATGGAAGTCGAATGCTGGGGCGCATCCCTCAGGTGGGATTGATCAACGCCCAATGACTTTGACCTTTGAGTTGGTCAGTCATAATCCGTTCGTAAGATCAAGGTATAGTGACTGTAGTGTAGTTACCAATGATCCTCTCTAGTTTGTCTGTGAAATGGATGCCGATTTGTGTTTTTTTAGGAAGAAAAAAGATCAGAGAGTTCAAACTAGGTATGTACAATGTTCATTTTTTACATAGGAATAACAGCCACTGAGACTATCTAAAATGTACATCAGTAGCTCCACCAAATGCCAATTTGAGAACAGGAGTAAAGTGAGTCCTCGGAAGGGTGGTCCTCTCTTAGCAGAGCCCGCATGCTCGTCCACAGTATTGCACCTTGTGTTCGTACGAGTAAAATGTACTGGTGCAGAATCCGTTTTGAACCCATCTCTCGCAACTGGAAGCACAAAAATTGAAAAGGGACCATAAAATTATTGGGAATAACTTTTTAGTTGTGAAGGCAGTATGTGCTAAAGGCTAGCTTGAGTGAATCCAGGAAGAGGACAACTTGTGCCTACTATTTAAATTCGTGCATTGAATAGGGAAACTCCGGGCTTAGACTTGACTTGGAAAAGAGGTTACGAAGAAGCACGGTAGCAGTGGTACACACCTCCAATGATGACCACCAAAGAACCGAAAGAACTTATGTGAAAGCTTGAAGCAACATAGCATGGCTAGCTGTAAGCCTAAACACGCATGCGGACAGTTTGTGAGCAGCAATCTTTCGAAATCTTAGCTGGAAAAAGAAAAAGGTAATTGAGAGCAAAGCGATTCATCATCGGAGATGATTGTGGAACATAATGACAATCTATCGCGCAATCTGAAGGAGACAAGAATGAGAGATCGAAGATTCTGTATAAAAGACAATGATGGGAAACTAGGGCTTGGGTCACAGAATTGTACTGCCACAGAACTGTCATGAAGGCGAAGGCTAGAAGAATTACAGAAATTCAAACTTCGAAACCCAGAGAGAATCGATCATAAGTTCTGAATCGAGTATCTTAGTAAGACAGCGAACCAAAAATACAGATGAATCGCCTCCGCTCTCTTGTAGTCGTGGCCTTGATTTAAATTTTCTCCAGCATGCAACTGTAGATCATGAGATGAGTCTTTGAAAATTTGTCACAACTTAAAAAAAAGCAGTTATAAACGCTGCTTTCACAACCAGAATGTAAGTTTAGCAATAGCCTAAAGAATCGCTGATAAGAAAGAACTTGATCCTCGCTGAATTACTCTAGTCAAAATTCTTCGAGATATGGCAGAATTTCAAAGACCCAACTCTCTCAACAGCACGCGACGGTGCGCGTTCGGATGCGGCGAACGCGCACCGTCGCGTGCTGTTGAGAGAGTTGGGATCCCCCACACCCGAATTTGAGAAGCGACAAATTTCTCAACGGAAGAGTTGCGTCTACGGATACACCAAAAACTCATCACCTTGGACTGGTTCCACATTGGGTATCTGAAAAAGGGCATTTTGAAGGTCGCTCAGACTGATAGATTCCGTAGGAATTGAAACTTTTGGTCAGGACGCGATCCAAGCACGGCACACCTTGGCGTTAAAGCGAAACCACGGACCCGTACTGTCGGGTTTAGCTAGCACGAACCGCGTAGACCGCGTTCTGACCTGAGACATCTTTCCTGTCTCCTGGACAATATTACAATACTGGCTATTTTAGCACCTCAATCAACAGGAATAAATTGGAAGAACAAAGATGAGTGCTAACCAATAAGAAGATAGCCTATCGCCAAAAGGTGGCACGGTAATGAATGACGTTCTCAATTTTGTAATTAGTGTGTGATATAGAAAAGCTTTGGTGATACCAAGCTTTACCGCTCCTGCCCTACTGCCGAGACTAAGTTACTGTCTCCCAAGACCATGACTCAAAAGGACCTTCTGGTTCCGCGGCGACTACCATATGCTCCCACCGGGAGTTCGCACACGTAGCGCGCAACTGCGCACGCGACGCGATTCTCGAGGGGAAGTACCCACACCACGAGGGACACGATCTCGAGCCATTCCTTATGCTTTCTAAGCAAAAGGATAGCCTACTGATCAGAACCTTTTGCATTCCATCCTTTTGCACCTAATCAACATTTCAGATACTTCTGTGCTAATCCCCTCCTCAGACTTGAAAAAAAAACATCTCCTTAAGTCGACTCCGCGTCCTTTCCAAGCACTACTATGTGCCCGCCGGGACCTCATTCTTCTCTGCCGTCTAGCCCTTACCATTAGTGGTAGTATTAGAGCATGGGTATGTGTACGAACGTGCGTCCGAAGATTCGCGCGGCAAATTGCGCGGCGAAGTTCGTAATGGTTTGAACGAGTTTGGCGCCTGTCATTGGGGCTCAAATTTCAAATTGAAAGGATTAGGAGGATCATCCGACCCTACTAAACTACACTACTTCGAGTTTGTGCCCCGAAAATTGGCGCCGCAGTCGTACAAATCTTCACGAACTTTGCCGCGCAATTCGCCGCGCGCACCCTCGGACGCACGTTCGTACCGTCCCCCATTAGAGCACCCCCTCCAATTACACTTCATTTAACAATTAGTCACAATGGAACTCGTTATCCGTGACAGTTCTGCGCCTGTCACATTCCCCTCCGACATGGTAAGTTGTGAGAACCGAGCGCACTTCCCGACTTTCGTTTTACTCCTGACGTTTTTGTGGAGTTCGAGAAGAACCATGGAACCCTCATCGAACTTTACACTTTCTGCTTCAGCTTCACTTCTCAGACACTCGCTCCAAGTGAAGCAAAAGCTCCTGGGGAACTTTCTGAACGGTGTCCCCCCAGAGATTTCCAAATCAATCGAAAATGGTCTATCGGGTATTAAGCACTTACTTGGTCCTAATGTTCCTCCAGTTGTACAGTATCCACACGTCTTCCTGCAGTATCTCTACAAATGATTCAGTACGGATTATATAATTATAATTAGTGGAACCTCTCAATGTTTTAGAGATAGTTCTTAAAGGCACAGTTCACGATAAAAATGGCTTATGAGATTTACACTGGGACAAATCTGTGGCCCGCTCGTAAACCATATCTGGCGCTGTCAAGTCGGAAAACGGCCTAGATAGTATGTTATAAAGATTTAAATATTATCCCGTGTGTATGCGCGGACGAGATTCAACGGCACTGTAAGGACTGCACATTCACAAAGGCGCCTAGTAAGAAGTTCGAGCAACATGCCATGACCCGCAGCGACAGTGAAAGGCAATTCCGGACAGTTCTGGCATAATATAGTCAGCTCTTGGCGCAACTAAGACCACGTCCAAATACCCCTCCCGTGTTATTTCCATCATGGTAATCTCCTACAGCCTCTATTCTCACTACATTTGTGGGGCCTTATTTTCGCAAAATCGACAAATTTTCTTGCTTCCTTCTCATTCTATGCTTCAATAACAAGCAATACTTCCGCTTTTCGACTTAAAAAGGGTACCTCAAAATTGCCATGAACTGTGCCTTTAATCAAACATGCTCACCTGCACAAACGACTGCAGTCCCTGACTTTGGCAAATTATTCCGTTGTCTATGCTGCAGCCTGGTGCTTCATCGACACAACTGCCTAAAATTAGAATTTTTCGTAGAAGTCGAAGCTTCTCAAATAAAAAAAAAAGACCAGTTCTATATTTCAGTGCTCTCTTGCAACTGTGAGGATCTAAAGGCTCACATGTAAGGAATGTGAATGCGCCAGCACAGCCAGTTCCCACTTGGATTGAAAATTCTGTGTGGGCTCTAAACGAGTTACTAGGAACCCCTTGTTTCAATTCAACTTAAATTTCATTTTCTACAATGTCCTCTCTCTCGCAATATATCTCTAAATTGCTTTGTAGGGTAGTAATGGGCTATAGATGTCCCACAATACGCAATTGAATCTTCCTACAGTGGGCTTCACAGCTCTCAAACAGTTCCAGTTCGAAAGGGGGGAGGGGGTAAATAAAGTTAAAGAGCTTTTTAGATTCAGTTTTATAATCCACGCAAACCTTGATCACAAAAACCACACGTCTTCGGGCAGTCCTCCTCAAGAATACTTCTCCAAGCTGGATTCGTGCACATTGCCGTAGTTACTGAAGAGCATGGAACTCGCGGCTCTGAAATGCTACTTGAAATCCCAAAACCTTAGCAGTACACAATAATTTAATAACTGGAAATTTGAACTTGATAGCTAAAATCAATAGAATGCCAAAATTCCCCTTCACAATGTGACTTGAGACACCAAACTCGGGTTTCCAGCTGGATATGCTTTCCCCTTTTTAGGAGTGTAAAGAGGATTGGAACGCTTTGACTCCAAATCAAGCAAATCTGCTACCAAGTAAGAATAATCAAAGGACAATCCATGGAAATACAGACGGATTCCAATCATACGTTACGCTAGGCTTGTCGATGGTTGGAAGTAACTTTGACTGAAATCCGCTCAGGTCTACATGAGCGAGACAACTTTAACTTACGTGCTTTATTGTTGCAAAAGTAGGCGGGTGTGAGGCAGCAGAAGCCGCATGTCTGTGGACAGATCTCGATTGCCGCTTTAACGAGTTGAGGATCCTGAAAATTAAGTGAACTAGTTTCTCCGTCCACTTGCATTCACACCTCTCTAAACAACCGCATGGATAGAGCCTGAGAGGATATGTATTTTCACAATTTTCCCACAAAAATACCACATGAACTGTGTCGCTCTGGTCTCGGAAGTTCAGTTAAATACTATTTGAGTGAAATTGACTTGATAATCCCCACTGGTATACCTAAACTCCAAAAGAACTCGGCCACACTTAATCTTCCACAGAGTTGACGATCACATCACGTCCTGATTTGATTGTAAGTAGTCGCCAACGAAGTGTTCGATCATGCGGGCACGCCGTCTTTTGCTCGACCTTACTGGGGTGATGCGGACCACAACGTCAACAAGTATGACTAGATCCCAGGAGCTTTTTCGGCAGATATTTCAATGCTGAAGGAACACCAATGATTGGTGACATGCGCTCACAAAAGCACCGATTTCTATGATCCAGCAGTAAAGAAGTAGTGAAAAGCTGGATATTACAGAAGATGTGAGAGTACCTTCAGGTTATGGCACGGCATCGCATTCCACAGCTCAGAGTGCTTAATGCATGAAATTGTCAGCTCGATTGAGATAGTCCGTGCAGCATTTGCCCAAAATTTGTCTGGGACGTTTCGGATCTTCCCATAGAAATAAACGGAGATTTCTTGATATCGCCGTCAATTTATCAGATCGAGACTCATTTCCGACCTTCCTGATTCCGGCTTCAAACAGTCAAACGAGGCATGCAGAGAATTGCTCGGAAGGAGCTCCAAGGCCAAACAGTTGACACAAGCTTCGATGAGCTTCAAAAGCGGGGTAGTCGGATTCGAACTCGTAAAGAACTGAGAGTATAATGTGGGACACACTTCGGCTATCTAAAATACAAGGAAAAGAAAGTCGAATATGTTATGTGCAGTGTGCATAGTTGGATGATATCCTTATATAGCAGTCTCATAGAACATCCAGAACACTGCAGGAGAAAATCTGTACTACCGGGAAAATTTCTGCATCACCCAATATGATGCGGAACAAACGCTCGCACATAAACAAGGAATCTCGACTGTGAATAGATGAAAGCCAGATCAAAGCAACCAAACATAAGCGATTCTTTGGAAACATGGTCTAATTACTCACTGGAGGATTTCCTCCACAATTTTGATTTCGGTCATCTGTTCCACCAGCTTTCACTGCAGTCTGGTAGAGTATAAGACAATTGGCGTCTGACATTTTGTTCATGCAGTTCGTCGCAGAGGGAGCGTACTGAAAAGAATATCGATTAAGCCAGACCTACATATAGGAACTCTTTTATGAATAAGATGGCCTCTTCGACAAGAAAATAGTCCGTGTCAAGGCAGTTGCAGATGGGAGGGTGCGATTATCCCTTTTGGACATTAAAGGCACAGTTCACGATAATTTTGGGAAAGGTCAATGGAACGATAGTCCGAAATAGTGCAAAAAGGCGAAGAAAACTCGAAAAGCGGCGAATTCAGAGTATTAAAAGGCTTCGGAAAAAAGTTAAATTAGGGTTTTGACGAGAATGTGAGAAGCAAGAGTTGCACGGAAGAGGTACCTAGACGAGCTGTTCAAATGTGCGCACCAACGCATACAGCTGGCTGCAGTAAGTGGCTGCGTGCAACGTGTGCGCTCCGGTGCCAAGATCAGCCAAGCCGATTTTGGAGCCCTTATTACGCCCTATCTAGACCGTATTACAGCCTGACAGCGTCCCTTACGCTACCCTTGTGGGTAATAGGTTCATACGAGGGAGAAATCTCAGGAACAACTTTAACGTGAACTCTGCCTTTAAGTTCCCGCCGACACTCCAAAATACACTGTAGTACCACAGTCAAATCTCCATCTCAATGTATACAACACTACTGACATTTATAATGAACGGTTATTACGAAGGTGGGACCTAACCCGATGGAGGATGCTGATCTTAATGAAATCTTTTGGGAATTTAGAGTGGATGTGATAAGGGTTAGTGGTCAGTGGTAAAGTGGCAAGTGACACACGCCTACTTCGGATTTGAATTTCGGGTCGATGTCTGCCTACACCAATCAAGCCTCCTATCCTTTCTGGGTCGGGTATCAGTACCAGGTCCGTCTGGGAGGACAAAAGCACTGGTTTGAACATCGGCTGGCCACCGCAATCCATTTTAGAGGTCACATATTCATCCAATACACCACTACGATTCTGAATGGAAGTCGCTTGGTGGGACGACGGGATTGATGACAAATCGCAGCTTATCATTACGCATGATCTTCGGGATCATCGAGTCCACTATGGTTGAGGGTGCTTCTCCTTATTATTAAATAACGTAACTTTTTACCTTAACGACACCACCGACTGTTTCCGTGCAGTTCATGTTTAGGATACCTGCCCATGTGCTTTCGAAGATTAACGCCAACGACAACATGATGAAAACCATGTTTCACCACTGAAATATCTTGATCGGATTGTAAAAGAGAAATGAGTGCAGAACGGCAAATAAGCGAGCATTCATGATTTTATACTGTTTCCAGTCTTTCTGCCCATTTCATGTTGAAAAAGTGCAGCTGAACATATCGACGACGGCCAATGTCGTTGCCATCCCTCTTGTTTCCATCGTATCAACAATGTCCAGTGTTGAAATAGCTCTTTGCAAAGCTGCTTGCACTATATTGATGGAAGGCTCGTGATTTAAGACTGTACGATCATGTCCTCATGATATTGGGCTAATAGTAAGACTAACGGTATCAGAGAGGGACCTGATTGAAGGGAGCGAGTGGTGTCCTGCATAGGAAGTCCGGTTAAAGAAAGACTGGAAGAAGTAGGACTGCGACAAAAAGTAACATATCCGCAACTCTCATTGAAAGAAGATTGTAGAACGAAAGCTGAAGGCTCCTAGTAAGACTTTGAAAAAATGGGATGAACGAAGAGAGAAAATGCGAAATGCACTCGGATTTCGCATTCGTGTATAACTGTTAAGAGCATGTTCATAGTAGAATCCGTCACAGCCTCAAGATCCTGAACTTTTACCCGTTCACATGATAGTGACTAAAGCGGGTAACGGACATATTAACAGTAGCAACCAGTTTATTGCGCATACATGTTATGCGTACGCATCGAACCTCGTTATCTATCTACTTAAACTCCCGACTGGATAACGTCTGACCCAGCCATGATTTTCATATTTATTCTGCTACCGCTAGCCATCTTAGCACAAGAGAATGCCAGAATCATTCATCTACATGATGGAGACGCGATTATGCGCCTAGAAGCCAGAATGTCAGTTTTCCTTGTCGAGAGTTCCAAAATGAAATCTAAGATCCATCCCAGTCTGTTTCGAGTATGTGTAGGCCCTTTGTTCTGCTAGAACTGCAAAGAACGATTTCTAATTAGTCTTGGGTGAGGTATACATTCCTTGTCTTCCAAAGTAGTACATCATGCCTTCGTATGGTTCCTTTCCGGGAGAAAGTGTGCAACATAACAAGATTCCTGCACTCTTCTTTCATTTTTTATATCGTTGAGTATAGCGGCGTAGGTTGTTTGATGACAGATAGCGCCCTATCTTACACGCATCGTACGAGTTCGAATCCCGGATTGAACTCGCCTGAAAAAATCAAGCTTTTTCTTTCGACGTCCATTAATCGTTAGCAGACCGGTTCGGGAAGATAAAGCGCTGGCCTATTCTCGGGTGGGTACTGCGAGTCATTGCATGGGCCATAATCTTACGTACTCAGCAAGCCTACGATTGTGAATGGAAGTTGTCGCATCCCACACAGGTGTGGGTGGCAGAGCTTGCTCACACCTAAATTTCCTGATCACTACAAAAAGTATGTGACTCTCGCATCCTCTCCAGTAAATAAAAAAATTTCAGCGTGGATAATGCCGTACAAAGAGTGCCATCTTTCGCTTACAATGCAGAACCTGACTTTAAATGGAGGTGAGTCCTTTCTGAAAAATCTATGGTGATTCAGCGAACCTAAGCTGCCTTCTCCTTGGCTATTCGATTCTCTTATTCCGCAGCTAACATGAGTATTAGAAAATCTCATGCTTCTAAACATTCACTGCAAGTATGGGTGAAGTTAAACGAAAGCAAAACCCTAAGGCTCACGACTGATAAAAAGATGTGTCGGTACTCCGAAACGGGAAAACTCATAGACTCTACCGTTTTGAGAGAGGAAGATCCAAATTTCCCAGCTGAGGTACGCGTAAACCCCCAATTTTTTACGCTCCCTTGTACGGTCTTCAGAGCACATCGAAAACGAGCAGAAATCCCGTTCAGCTATCTTTATGAAGCCCGTCCCAAGAGTTCAGTCTCACTGTTGTGATTAGACGGCCTGAGCTGATTTTGCAGCTTATATCAATAGAACCATATTCCACTTACGAATTGAAAATCGCCTCAGTTGTTTAGGTATGCAAACTACCTGAAGAAAACCGAGCCACAAATGATAACGGCAGAAAGGCGAACTTCACAGAAAACTGCCGGCAGTCATCGAAACAATCACCATGGACCACCACCATATATTCCAACACCGTATTTCCTTCCGAAATTTTCCGCTGGAATGCCACTCTACGAGGGTTATCGGATGTTACTGACTGACGAACAGTCTGCTCGAGACAGGCTTATAGAAAAACAGTCAAACATTCCTAATAACAGTGATTCCAAAATCATTAGAATGTTGTTCAACCAGGATTCACCAAAAATGGTCAAGGCCACGGAAAACATCTGAAATGTCATTAATATATGTGTATTTCTAAGAACGTATTGAATAAAGAATATTTAAAACTACGTAAATAAAAGATCGCGGACTGAAGATACTTCTGATAGCAGCAGCGAAAAAGCGGACCAAAGAGGTAAAGAGGAGAAAGAGGAGGTGGAGGGGTCAACACCTCCCGATTTCTCGAGATCGTGACATCTTGAAAACTACTTATTGAATGGGCCCATCCACTAGGTTATCATTTTATAAAAAAATAAATAAGAAATCGGATAGAACTAGGGAAAAATTGTCCTGTTCATGATGTTTTGACACTGGTCAAGTGAAAGAGCTGCAGATCTTCTTTTTCTGGTCCCAAATCAATCCCGCCTGAGCAGGGAGTCCCCACATGCGACTTCCTTTTAGAATCGTGGTGGCGTTTTAAATGCGTATGGCCTATACCATGATTGGCAGTGGCCAGCTGTTGCAAAGATCAGCGCTTTTTATCCTCCATGCAGGTCTGCATCAATTGACCGACCCCGGAGCGATGGAAGGCTTTCTTGGCCTAGGTGTAGTCGAACCGGAATTTGAACCCGTGACCATGCGTGTGTGATAGTACGCCACTTGCCACTACACCATCACTGTCCGTCCTCCATAAAAAACGAACTTGTAAGTTGCGGCCTATGAAAAGTAGTAGCAACCTCTTGAATTGGAGGGAAGCGTTCGCTGCAACAAGACCCCCGTCAAGGCCAACAATTCATTGTGATATATAAGAGTTAAGCGAAAACCTGACGTGGGTGTAATGATCGTCGATCATGAACAAAGGGGAGGTGCTGGGCATTTCGTATTGGCAGCCGTGCCATTCACATCACCCTCCCGAATGTCTATATTTCTGCTTCTGATTCTCATAACTTTCACAACTTGTCAACTACACAACGGCGCAGCAAACCAACAACTGCCCACAGTAATTCTGACTGGAGGGCCGCGACTGATCGCACGGCGAATATGGCGAGGAATGGAGGTGAGACAAACCCATTATCTTCTGCGTCAAACCGTTGAGTTGTTATCGAGAGAGGTGAAATAGCATAAAACATCCATTTTCGAGAGACCCTTCAATTAGACCCCAGCACCAGTGCGGCTTTGCAGAGAAGAAACTGTTATGCAAATTTTAGACAGTTCGGTCCGAACACTTTACAATCAACAGTAATTACGAACAAAAAGTTATTTCAGATGAACGAGGTCATGCAGAATGTGCAGGCCAGGGAACCATATCATTTTCATCCCGTTGTTGTCCAGCACCGAAGTAACGAACTCCCGGGAAGGACCGTAACAGTGTACAGGTACAACTGAGGAAATCGAATATCAAACATATGGGATTGAATGTAAACGCTCTTGTTCAAATCCAAAAGGCGATCTCACGAGTTGGCAACTTTGCCAATGAAACTGTACAATGATATTCATGCACTTATATACTGTGGTCCAAAATTCAAAAAGAAAAATTTCTCCACCCTCTGTGTAGTAATTTTCACAAAAAAAATTCCCTTTGCTTTGCCAGCATCACTTTCTTGGCTTAGGATACCACATTAGCTAAACCCTCGCACATTATGACTTTCTAAAAATCACAGTAATTCGATCTAATCAAGGGCATGCTCACTTACATATTATGTTATTATTATTTACAACATATTTACATTCCTTAGCGATTAAGGCCAACCGATGTACTATTATTATCTCTTTGAACACTTGCTCTCAAAAGCTAGATCATAAAGACAACTTGTGAGATTCATAGCGTGGGATTTCGTAGGAAAAAGCTACATTGTTAAAAAAAATATGACACTTTTGCAGCGATGTTGGCCAAAACGAATAAAACCTGTTCAGAAAAATTCTTCGTCCGGCAAAACTCTTCTATACGGGCAATGATGTCGTAACGCATCAATGGGTTGGAGGTGACGACAATAATGAACGGCGAATGTTCTTCGAAAAGCCAGCCGAGGGGATCCGAAGACATCTGTAGAAGCACGGCTGACGCACGATTAATGATGTAAAATTGTATTAAGGTGAAGAAAACTATTAAAAAATTACAATACTGACCAAAAAACAGTGATGGCAGAGGTCGATCTCCGAGTCGAGGCATCTCAGCAGGAACGACACTCAAGGATCACATTGTGATAAAGGGTTATTTGAGTATGTGTCTATACATCGCGCCACGAGCTGCTTTCATAGTCCACGATTTGGCCCGCGACCGGTCGCGCGATCGGTCACGGACTAAAACGCGGACTATGAAAGCAGCCTATAGACACACTTTGGCAAAACATCCGCCTAGTTCTTACGCCATCCCAATTCAACTGTATCGATCATGTTACATTCAAGAAACAACATCCAAGAATTCATATACGATACACAATTAGTAGTACAAATGGATCAAGAGCAGTACAGAACATATAGAATCTAAATCCATTCGAAACACTAGACAAGTTAAAGACTTCAAGAGATCTCGACTAGAGTAGATCAGATCTGTCAGCATTAGTAAACCTATAATAAAAATAGAGCATAATCTTAATGATATGTGAGAAAGCAGAAGAGCAAAAGATCCTCGATATATTGCAATGGGTATGAAGACCAGTCGCCTAAATTCCTGAAAATTTGTCAACGACGAGATATTAACGACCCAATCATCTCAGAAGAATTATCGAAGATGAACATTCTAGATTTCGAAATTAGAAGTTCAGAGCTAAGCTCTGATCAATAACAATTGCACAATTGACAAAGGAGAAAACAAGTAAGAGAACGAGTATCGTTTCGTTGGTAACAATCACATGTATATTATACGGGCACAATGTATCATTAGAATCTTCAGAGAAATTTAGTAGAATCTCGCCCCCTTATGGGCTCACAAACTATGCGCAGCAGTTCGACAGTTCAGGGCCATGTTCGATGCGCAACACGACATACTCGTAAGAGGGTACACGGTCACAATAATTGAAATCATGCCCTATTCATGTCGATAAAAAGCCGGATTGTTGTAAGAGTCGACAAACGACAAATCTATATGCTGCAAAGGTTGGGAAGGTAACTGCGGCCTGAACCCAGGACCCAGAAGTGACTCGACATCTCCTTGACCACTGCAGCTGTCGAGACCAGATGATGATAGCATTGATGCGAGGTCGTCCCCGCTGAAAAGAAAAAAGGAAATTCATTTGAGGTATAACTTTTCTTGTGATTAAACTTCCCCGCGCTCACTCAGTAGGACCACAGAGTAAATGATTGAAAGATTCCAGTGAATGAGGCGAATGATGATCAGAGAATAACTGGAAAACAATACCTAAAGCACCAAGTACCAACCGGGGGCACCCATTACCCTTTGGAGGACCGAAAAGATCATTGGCAAATATAGATCAATAAAAGTAGACAATGTGGTATAGCCCTTCTTATTATTTCAAAACTGTGCCTTACTAACGCATATGATTCCTCTGAGTTCCGGTGATGCAGCAACAGAATATGTACAAAGCGAAGGAAGTACTAGTGAAAACAACGGAACAGCAACAGGAAAACCGTGACCCAAAAACGAGATTAAACCCCAATGTTTCTGTCAAAAGGCGTTATCAAGAGTAACAAACCGCAATGTCCCTCCTAGATTCCACAGAGGCTAAAAATACTCACACATCCATTGATTGAATTGGTTGGATGACCTCTCCAGGAGACCAATCTAACTTCGATTGCACAGAAAGAGGCGACGGGGAATCTCCTCCACTAAGGACCGAAGACGACGACGGTTTGCTAAAAAAAAAAAAGCAAGATTTTCAAAATCAATCCAAAAGAGAACAATTCCACCACAAAAAAAGCAACACAAAAAGCGAGGACGACGACAGCGACGACGTTTGTTTTGTTCATAATAGAATGGTAAAAAGCTACACGGCTCAAAACTTTGCTCACTTGGAAGTTTTCGCAACCATTACAATTTCAGACTGAATGTATCCTGTAGGACTGTCTGGTCCACCACGATTCCGTTCCTCGCTATCAAAGTATCGCAGCATTTCATCCTTATCCATATGAGGATACAGATACCTGCAGAAATCTTTAAGGATTTATCCGAAGTTACAATTCAAAAAGCCAAAGAATGTAGGTAAATCTGCGGGGGTCTAACCAAAGTATCGAAAATTTTGAGAGCACATGCTTCGTGCAGTTATATACTTACAAAAAGTCGAAGGCTGGACTCACTTTATCTCTTTCAGTTGAGGGCAACTGGCAATGCGTTGAGCTAGAGAAAGCTGATCGAGATCTTTTATAGAAAACGGTGCAAGATGAAATGGAACTAAACCGATTCACATCAGTTTCACAACAGAAAGATTTCAATTCAAGGACTCTGGATGCCTCTTATTAACACATTTGCCCACCTTTTTGGCCATCGTCATCTTCACACACAAACCCTATGCTAACTGCTCCCGTCTGGGTATCACTGAAACGTAAAAGAAATGTTGGATGACTAGCCATCATCATAGATTGCGAAGCGTCCTGCTTTGATATGAATCCAACCAACCATCCTAAAATATCTGTGATTACATTAGCAAACTTGTTCTTCTGTTGAGGTACATTTTCTTTTTTGATGGAGAAGAAAGGTTTAAAAAACTAATAATCACTCGGTATAACTCACCTTCATCCCAGAACTTCAGTAACTTTTGTTTGATAAGCTGCATGATCGCAAAAAACCATTCCCAAAACGAAAATGAAACGTCATCCCGAAGGTTTTGCTGCAAGACACCATATAATTTTCGAAAGAAGGACAATTGTTGCGCATAGCACACGCAAAATCCCACAGCAAAAAACAATACAGCTGAGAAAATCTTCAATGGTGCGTCGTTTTCTTCCAACAAACAGAGGCAGCATACCTTAGCAAAACGATGGAACGTGATTGGTTTCTGATCAGGAACATTTGGGACTAACAATTTTTCAGACAAGTAATTTAGGTCGGCGTCAGACAACGGACGACGTGCTCCAGTGAACAACCTGCAACAAAAATTACGAAGAGCATAGTTTTTCATAAGAACGAAGTCAAGAAAGATTACTTCGAACTCAGCGCAGATTCCTACCGTCTCTGATTACTAAGCATGGCTGACATTTAGAGCTGCGGTTATTGCACATTAATTTCATACCAGTATAAGTATAATCACAACAGACCAAATGGGTTCAATGAGATAAAACTACGTGGATGGGATAGCAAGTGAAAAATATGGCCCGAACCACATCTTCAAAAAAAAAATCAAATCATTCCTGTTTGCATTTGATTATTTCAAACCAATTTTCGTGAGTAGGCTGAACATTCTTTACTTCATAAACTCTATCTAACAAAAAGCTTCCCACTAACTAACGTGAATTTGTGACGTAAGACGTGACCGAGATCCTTCCATGCCACCGCGGTGATGTCAGTGGTACCAGGCGAGCGTGACTGAAACTTGCACTTTTGATAGGATTTTACAATGTAAAATTGGAAGTTTTAAGTAACCAGCGGGTGTTCATTTACTACAGCTGCTCAATCAACTTTCACTACACAACACTTCAATTGGAATAAAACGAGAAGAAAAAGGAGAAGTGAGAAAGTCGACCCTAAGCTAGTATTCAGGCATAGATACACAGAAGTAAAGCAGATAACGGATTTCAAAAAAAAAACTATAAGGAAAGAGCAGACTTCCAACTCCAACACACACATACAACTGATTCATAAAATTAGCAATTAAGAGACAAAGTTTATGTGAATCAAATATCTCACCACTGAAGCAAAGGCACGATGCCAAACGATGGCTCCTTGCGCATCGCAATCTTGGGAGCCGTGAACTGTCACCATGAGCGGTAGTGATAGCGTCCATACGTCAAACTAAACGTATCTCAAACTCTTTACCTATTCAAATCACTCCACAAACGCTTTTTATTGGAATCATACATAACAGATGTCGAGAGCGAAATTCGTTCAGTCCTCTCACTTACTTGGCCTATTCAATGGGGAGAGAATAGCAACTTGCTTAGGGTAATCTCTCAGAACTATCGAGCACTGCAACTTTCAGCTTACGGCGAGTTTCAAATGTTCCGAGATTACTTAGATTCAAGGGTATCAGAAGTTGCTTGCACAGATAACAGAACACAAAGTGTAGTTGAAGCTAGCAGCAATCAGGAATAACCCTGACTTCACAACAAGTACGAAGTTATTGAAATCGAAACATAAACAGCGAAGCACTTACTTTCCCGAGAGTTCCGAGTTGAAACGGGCTGATATGGAAAAGGAGAGCATATTTCTGATCTGTAGCTGCTTGAGCACTGACGACGCATTTCATATCTGCTGTCGTTCCTTTCGGAGGTGGTTTCCGGTGAGCGATACGAGTCAGCTTCTAGACTATCCTTATGTAATCAATGAAACATCTGCATGCAAATTTTTGGACAAATCTTCACCGAGTTGTTGAACTTAGCAGCCATATGTCCTCTTTCGTCCATTGTCATCTTTTCGTAGTCGTTGCTAATACTACCCACGGTCTTGCTGAAATTAGGTGGCATTGTATGCTCAGCAACATCATCATTTCGAGGGAACATAAACATTGCTGTGCTGAAGAGGTGAGATTCTAAAACCTGTAGAGGAAGTCCCCCAACGAATCATGATCATTTCAGCTGGTAAGCTTGGTAGCACAAAGCCCCGGCGAATCGTGACTACTCTTTTTTCTGCGAAAGTTTCGGACAAATCCGGCTTGGCGTAGTCAGCTGTTTGTTGGAGCAATTGGAGCAAGTGAAATTTCGTCCAAACACTCTTGACATGCTAGTTCCTTCATGGTGACCTCGTACAACCTCTACTTCCACTACTTTCAGAAAGATGCTTTTCGCGAAGTGGACGGATTTCCTCGCTTTCTTCGCCGCCAATTTACTGCTCTACATTAACATTTTCGCGTTTCAACATAGGAATGGTACCTTAAATTTGTCGTTAACTGTGTACTCAACCGGTACGCCACTCGTTGGGGAGATGAATGCTTGTATACTGGCGGCCCCATTAAGCCATTGTATAAGCCCCATACTCGCTCAAATGCATAGAAGTCGAATGCGGGGCACATCCCGAAGCGGAATGGATTAATCCATCAAAGGTTACGTTAAGAATGTTGAAAATCTCACATGTCTTTATGATTCATCTGCGTTGCACTAAGCAGTTTGGCTTCTTCCTCGGCGATGATCTTGACGGTAACATTTGTGTTCACCAGATGTTGTCGAATGCCTAATTTGTCTCCGATCAACAAACGGACCTAAAAAACTTGTGATCTTCAAGAACAATTCCGCTGTATATTATAAAGATTATAATGAAAGGTATTCATGAAAGGACCGCTCCGCTGCGCTCTCCATCTTGACGCCGGACGTATTAACCGTATCTGTCTGACGATTGATGGCTGACGATCTGTCTTTGACCGAACCCGAATCTAATCAAATTGAATATGCCTGGTTCCTTTTCTCTGAGCTCTAGCGAACGACCCCAAGACTCAAAATTGACAAGCCCTACGGAAATATGGCGCGTCATGAGTAGCGCAAACTCCTGTTACCTGTTTTCTCTGTTGAAACGTGTAGCTTGTGTTCACAAAAGAACGAAGAAGCAACGTTCCCACATACCTCTGTGACAAATTTATGTTGCGTCTTCAGCACAGGTTCAGGCTGCACTGATACCACAAAACTTTGAGAAACCAGCATGAAGAGCAATTTCGTAAGCTGATCGGCCAATGTTGTCAAATTCGAAGCAGTTGAATGAGCATGATTGTCATTGATTTGCGGTCCTAAACTTCCAGACTGCTGCTATAATACCTTTCCTTCAGTTGGAATCGAGAAAACCTGCCCAACCTCCGAATACTGGACTTGGAAAGCTTAAGACTTACCCCGGGTAAGTAAGTCTAGTGTCCAACTCGCAAACATATGTAGTTGCCAATTTTGCTCTGCGAGGAATTCAAACCTTAAAAAGTCTCGGGCATTAGGTGATTCATACCCAAGGAAAATCTACACAAATGAGTACCCATCACGCCACTCACTCCATCTGTATCTCATCTAAGTTGACGTCTCGGTTGTCGAATGGTACACCAACCTGCGCTAACTTTTGACGATTTTTCCAGTCGAAAAGACGATCGCTAATTAATTGATTCTAAAATAGCGTCTCTAGTTTTTACAACCACCGATACCTATTTCCTAGAATATCCAACAATTTTGGAGAACTTCAAAATAGTGTATTCCGTGAAACCAAAAACCAAAACGGTGGCTATGAAGCACACATGAAAACGCCAACAGATCAGCTATTCAGAACTAGATAGGATACTAACGCAATGATGATAAATATACCAAGTGGAACTGCATATTTTTACATACACTGAGTTTATATGACACACCTGCAGTAAGGCAACAAAATTAGTTCCATCGTTTAGCTTCTTTACAATTTCCTCTCTTTTCGTTGTCAGAACTGAATATAACTGTGACGCTCTTCTCTGCATTTCTGTCATTGAGTGTCGAGCCTAGAAGAAAATACATGTATGGCTGTTCCAATCTTGCGGTTTACATCAGAAACGTCGATTAAGATCCGGGATGAAAAAAGAACAAATGCGCGACCAAAATTAAGTAAAGCAAAGTGAAAGTTGTAATGCAAATTACATGTTGCAGCTGATCTTGACGATGCTCTCTTTCCAACTGCGCTATGGCTTGCTGTATTCGAGATATCTCATTCAGGTCGTTCACAAACCGCCCCTGAAATTAAGATTATTCTGTTGTAAAAATTTAGCATCATGAAAGGCAGATGTGCAGCACGACTCTGACGTCAGAGATGAAAATCAGCAATTAGAGACGAAACCTAACACTAACACACTCACACGGGAAAACTGAAGACTGGGTTGATGGGAAACTCTTATTTTCCGATCATGGCCAAAGGATCGGGAAATGAGCATACTTTACAGCCCATTGTTAGTGGTAATGTTCTTATTTCTTTTACTGCCAATCAACAAACCAAACCATGATTTAAGGAACACAACAGGAAAAAAACCCGACAAACCTGAAGATCTTTATTCTCTTCCCAGAGATTGTGAGTCTCCTTCGTGGCATTCGTTAAACCTGTACGCAGCTCTTCAACAGAGCAATGAGACATGACAATCTTAAATGTAGGTCAAGTCTAAAATCAGAACTTTTTTACGAAACACATACCGGAACGAATTTGCTTTACGACTTGACAAACACAGTAAAGAGTGGTGTCATAGCGACCACAGAAGAATTCGAAATGTTCAAACTTTTTTGGAATTCCAGTTTGTCGGAAACTCCTTCTAATCTAGTTTCCTCCTTATAATTGTGGCTTGTTATCGAATAGACTAATCAATTGGTCATTGTGTAATGCCGCAGCTATAGACAGAGTCAAAAAGCGAAAAAAAAGCTGTGAAATTGATTGTATAGATGTCTTATCGGTCACTGGTAACTCAGCTAGATTATAACCAGGTAATTCATGAAACACGAGAGACACTTCTAAAAGCATATGAATACCCTAGAACTTTCACCCCAAAAAAGCGACGTTCATCTATCATTGATAGTATGCGGAGACATTGATCTGCTAGGATATCTTACCACAGGTCTATTCAATCTATTAATCAAATGTCGACATAAAAGAAATGTGCAGCACATGTAGTCTCATCCAATATTGAACCCCCCACCCCGAAGGAAAAAAAAACTGATCGAACTGCGAGCCGCCTTTTGATCTTAGGGTAGGGTTACGATTACTTTTATTTCGTGGATGACGATCATCGAACAAAGGCCGATTTACCGTACAGAAATGCTAGAATAAGCTCAATTCATATCAGCGAGTGCGGAGGGTTCTCAGCGCTCCGAGACAGCATCAATAGTGCGCCCCTACGTTAATGAGTGTTGTATGTATGAGATGCACCCAACGATAGTGAAACTACACATTTCTGCGTGCATGCAGAGCGCTAAACGCCGCGTTTGCAACTCTCACATACACATTCACAGGGTGGTGGCTACACCGCCTCTGGATGCGTGGGCACATCATCGGAAATACCAAACCAGTTGTGATGCAACCAATTTCTACTATGGTTTGCTGGTTAAAACAATACATCGCGAATGATCACCTGAACGAGGCGGCAATTTCAAAAAGAAATGATACTAGTCAAAAAAGATACTCAAAAAGAATAAGATGGCATGATTATGTGTACCGCAAGATACAGTGTTAGCGGATTAATGGCCGCTGAGCCGAAAAGAAACAACGAGCGCTAGAAATCCTTTCTATTTATGCTTTATAAATTGTAACAGGCATAACACAAACAGGGAACAACAACTGAACAATAACAACTTCCATGTCAACTGCAAGGATAACAAGAAAGAACATGAAATCGGATCTTAGGGTAGCTAACCTATGCAGGGGTGTGAGGTTAACACTGCAACATATACTGACTTTTAATCAACGCACGGAAACTATAACCCCTACGATTTCCTGGATTTTTTATTAATTTTTTGCTAATCATACAAGAACTACATCACGCGCGGTACCGGCCTGTGATAAGAGATTGCATGAGTACATTACTAACATCGGGTTGCTAAGTGACGACAGCTGGACACGGCCACAGCCGTGATTCTCTTCTCTTCACCACTAAAATGCTCACGTATGGAGCACGACATATGCCGTAAGAAGATAATTAGCGCCTAAGCTGCTATCAAAATTGATAAGCGAAGACCATAGGATGAAAGCCATACATCCTATGTACTCCTGAGGTGCATTCCTAATGAACTAATGAGCAGAGAGCAAGATTGGCCGGTTCGTACACAAGAAATTAGGCGAAGTTCGCATGTTGAAAATAAAAAGGAAAGGAGTAAGAAACCCGCAAAATACTACACGCCCACCGCGATGCTGAACGCCCGGCGCTCCTATCTATTTATGGTCAGCATCGTTATCGAAGTACCGAATCAGGTCAACTGATTCATGGACTGACTGTGTCGCCCAACATCACTTTTCTTTCATCCACGGCTCCCACGTGTCTCTTCTTCAAAAGGCTGAAGCGCTGCCAAATATCTTATTATGTACAACTGGTGCTCCTATGATTTCCTCATCGCGAAGTTCTCAATAATTTCACTTTATGCTTCCATTGATGGGGGCGGGTAGTAGCTGCTTTCAGACTTAAACAATTCAACTGCACCCACGCAGGTTGAATCGTTGAAGGCTGAAAGCAGGCATTAGCGGCGAGTTGCGCAAGCTATCCAGGCATTATACTGCGATGGAACCACAGACCATTACCAGCTCAGGTCAAGCAAGCCTTCCATTACTCCCAGATCTGTTAACCGGTAGAGACTAAACGTGCGCCTTTTTGGAGGAGCACGTGGCAAATTGTGCGGCGAAGAAAATCGTGGCGATTTGAACGACTCTGGCGAATGTCTTTGGGAAAAACCCTAACTCGTACGTAGGCTGGTCATCACCCCCACCATGGTAGGTTCCACATTCGCATTCAAAACGCCACTTAGATTCTGAATGGGAATCGAAAGTAGGAGCAAATGCAAAAAATGGATTGATAATCTAGAAACTACACCCCTTATAATGAAGGGCCGGTTAATTGCAAAACTATTATTCCTAAATTGTTGTAGAACTGCATAGCAAAATTGCAAATTTGTTATTGAAAAATTTGGTTTAAGGCCTGAATCTGCCTATCTACTTGAGCTACAATATCTAATCCACAGAATTGAACCAAACCTTGCTGCTTACGACGCAGATGTCCCCAGCACTGCTGGAGCCTTTCAATCATAAAGGAGTATGTAATAAAATTGAAGGAAAAGCATAGGATCAGTTACATACGACCCCGCCCCTTGCGAACAAGCGAGTTAGTATTGCCAAACTAATCCAAAAGGGTAAATGGATAGAACAAAGGCAAATATGGCAGTACTGTACGAGCCATTCTAGAAAATGAGAGAGAAACAATCCACAGTCGGCCTTCCCAGTACAAAATCTATAAATATACTTATGTTGGTTTTCCGAAACCGACTTCATCATCATGCATCTTTTTGAAGAAGTCCGCTCAAGGCACTTCTTTTTACAGCATTCAAGAAATTTCTTAGGGCCCATAGATAAAAAACAATTCTAATTTGCAACATTAAATGCACATAGAAGACAGACATACATTCTAATGATCGTGGTGCTGAAGCTCTACCATAAAGAAAATTTTCAGATATTTTAGAAGATTCGAGGCTCAGTAAAACAATAGATGTTTGGTTTACTTACACAATGCCCCAAAACACTTAGTGACGTTATTTCTTCAAAATTGTAGTCCAGCCGTCTTCATCAGTGACAGTGCGAGGAGGACGTTCTCTTCTAGCAGTGTCAGTGGGTTCTAGAACTGTATATATGAAGTTATTAAATTCTAGGCCAAGTGTGTGTCTCACAGAAGCGTGCTTATGATATTGAAAAGATTAAAAAAAAATAAAAGAAAGTGGGAGAATTCTTCTTTGAGAAATCAAAGGTACAGCATCTTACAGGATTATGAGTGATGATGGGAATCCGTCACACACCACAGCCATTCGAGGTGTTCTTTTAGCCTCAGTTGGCCTCATTCCTTAAGCCTATCTAAACAAGTTGACTGACAGAGTCACCAAATTTATACTCGTTTACATTCACAAATTTCCTATATTTGAATTCAATACAAGCTACAACTGGAAATCCGCAAAGCTTGCTTAAGTAAAAATCATCAACACGGAGATTCTCTGGACTCAATCCCCTCTGAAAACCCTCATCTTTCCACAAAATCTTCTGATTCCAACCACTTAACTACTGCTTGTTCGACTACCCTTTCCTCTTCTAAAAGGGAAGATAAGGTGTATCCGGTCCTGAAGCCTTGATCGTTGGAGCCGAGTATTAATAAACAAATTCTCTGGAAAGTTATAATTTTTTTAGGATGGTTCCAAGCCCAATTTCTTCATTCCTTCAACAAGCTCAAAATGAAGTCAGTGCTGAATATTGTCGCGGACTCGGGAAGGGGGCCTGTACACAGTCCTCACTATATATAAAGCGCTCTGTCTGTCTGCCACGAAATTCGATAGCACCTGAAGGAATACCTGAAGAGGTCGGGTCAACCTAAATGGGTTGAGCATAGGGCAACAACAACAGAGCATACGGAGCTTAGCACAGCTCCGCCCAAGGGGGCAGGACGTGCACAGTAGCGGGCGGTGTCTTAATCAAATCTTTCCCATTCCTAACAGTCCAGACGCCGAGAAATAATGAGCAAAGGTGAGGAGGGATGGGTCAACTAATGAAATGAGGGAGACTCACTGGCAGTGGACGGAGCGTTCAGTGGGTGGTATTTCCCATATAAGATCATAACTCTACTCAGTGAAGGTGCAGAAGCCAGCAAAAGGCAAAAAGAATAAGCAAGGCCTTATGCGTGCTGGGCATGCGTAAACTTAGCGAGGCTCCGCCCACGATGGGCGGGACGCCCGTTAGAATGGAAGCTATTTTTCAAAAATAAGTATTACTATGATCAGAAAAGTTATAGGATGCGGGGAAAAGTATAGGTTCATAGATGTAATAGAACAAATATGGGTAAATCTCAAAAGTGGGCGGGTTGGCACCAAAGTGGGCGGAGCTTAGATCAAAAATTTATAAATCCATCCAGAAACGCCCTGGGATGCGGGAAAAGAGTGTTTAGAAGTTCTAAAGCAAATGTGGACAATCCCAGAATTGGGCGGGGTTTGCACGAAAGCGAGCGAGCGGGCTTGGGTTAAAATCTGATTACGCTGTTCAGAAGGGCTCTAAAATGCGGGGAAAAATGTGTTTAGAAGTCTTAAAACAGATGTAGTCAACCCTCAAAGTGGATGGGGCATGGATAAAGAATTTATAAGTCTATTCAGAAACGTTCTAGAGCCCGGGAAGAAAGTGGTTAGAGGCTATGAAACAAATGTGGTCAAGACATCGAAGTGGTCGGGTTTGGAACAGAGGGAAAGGTCTGCGACGAGATGGACGGTGCTATAACCAACCACTAATAATTCTGCTCGAATGAACTATATCAAGCGTGATGATCTCAAAGCGGATCCGAGTTCAAATCTAGAGAGTACTATCTTCTTCTGACAATCTAACATTCCTCAACTGCCAAATCGCTTTGAAGACTCTCTCCATAGGACTTCTTCTGTCCACTCGTCTGGATACTACTGCTGCAGGTACGACATAGAAAAGGGATGCCGTACAGTGAAGCAAATGGTTTCACTTTTCATGTTCACACCACAAAACAACCCATATCATCAAGCTCATTTTGAGAGGGTGTTTAAGCACGGAGGTAGCCGATCATAAGCAGAAGCCAGGCAAACGAAAGAAGCCTAGCCGACTTCACAAATAAAGCGCTGTTCAAAAAAGCAAGGGTTTTCGTAGAAAGGAAGAGACGATGAACTGCCCTTTTGTGTCTAACTATGATATGATTGAACGTCAATGTTCAAAAGTGGAGGGTAAACTTTTGGGCATACTAGTCGGAATTGAAGCGGACTTGAATAAATAAAAAAAAAAAACAGGGTGCAGAAAAACAGTCCAAAACAATGAACATACAACGGTTAGCTGTCGTGGCAAGGAAGCTCTGAGACATCTGCTAGAAAGAAGGATTACCAAAAGAAAAGGGCTCGTCGAAACAAAGATAAAACACCAACGATTTTACCTGGTTCGTTTTCGCTATTTTCGGAAATGTCGTCCATCTCCATATCTTCTTCCTCGTCAGAGCATTCAGGGCGGCTCTTCCTATTAACCTATAATCATTAGGATAGTAACACAATAAGGACGCAGGAACTGAGCTGCTAATGCTGACAATATCACAAAAGTTATGTGCTCCCGGAAAAATTGCAATTAATACTTTGGAACATGGAGCGGAGGTGGTGTGGTGGCGCACTATTTTGCACGCATGGTCACGGGTTCGAATTTCGGACCGATAACCTCCTAGGTCAACCGAGCCTTCCATCCCTTCGGGGTTGTTTAATTGGTACCAGACTTGCCTGTGACGATAAAAGCACTGACTTGTACATCGGCTGGCCACCGCAAGTCATTGTATAGGCCACATACGCAATCATTACGCCACTACGATTCTAAATGGAAGTCGAGTACAGGGTAGTAAGTTGGATTCGACACTATTATTCCCTTTCACCATTCTAACAGTTACGCCACATTTTCACACAAAAGCATTGACTCAGTTACGTTTTCAGATAAATCAACTAATTCAGTACAATTCCTACTACCAATTAGAGAACTCATACGTGTGCAAAAAAAAAAACAAGATCAAAACCAACACGAAATTAGCACTTGACCAAGGACAAAGAATCTAAAATCCACAAAATGAGCGGGAGCAGAAATTAACAAATCTGATATAGTATCAGGTACTGCGAAAGCGCTTTAGACTCGTTGACGTATTTGAATCTGCACTTTGTCCACAAAAGCGCTCGCCCGGTAATCAAAACAACTGATATGGGATTCGACTTGTTCCTAATATTGTATGACTTCAAATTGGTTGAACCTGCAGTAGTAAACTACCCTACCCAGGGCCGCCAGCATTCAGCTTCATCACCAAAATACGAAAGATCTAAAGTCACAGGAGTAATGAAGCACCTACCCTCAACAATAAATTATCAATCTGAGCTGAAACCACTCTACTGTGAAGTGCTTGAAGGATACATCACAGTTTATTACTGCATGTATATCTTCCGGAAAACGTAAAATCGAATGAAAGTTCGAAATCTCGTCGCGTACCTCGCGGACGGTTTCCGATGACGGTAGACTGTTCAGCATTTGATCAAGGCGTACTCGATCGTTGTGTTTGAAGTACCTGGGAATCATGGATTATCGTGTGTGCTTTTATTTTCAAATCATTGAATATAGAGTGTACCCCAGAGCTTCTAGCAGGAAGGCGGAAGTGGGATAGACGCTTTCATCTTCTAATATGAGATTGAACTCAGTGTACAGAACATTGTTCAACCATTCTTCCAAGTCGTCTGCTTTCAATCCGCGCGTTGTCAAAATATATTCAGCGACAACTTCTTTGAACCACTGAAGACATATAGGTAAAGATTTGCAGCAAAGTTCAGCATTTGACCATGATTTTTCAGGGCTGATCAAAACTGAACGACAAAACTTATCATTACAAACAGGTTGAATGAAATGTGCCGTGCTGGTTGTGAAAGAAAATAAAAAATTGTTTTCGGTAAAAGTAAAGTGTTAGTGTATATAGCACGATATTGATATTAGGTACGATCTAAATGTATCAACTGCGAATACCAATGCAAAATGTACAAGGAAGTACCAGAATCGACCTAACCTCATCCTTTGCTAGCGTGTCGGGTCCTCCAGAGCTGAAATCTATTCCTAACTGATAACCACTCCAGGCACATATTACTCGATCTACAATTTCTTTCCATTCCTTTGAAGCTTCTTCCGCCATGGCGACAAATAACGAATTAGACCACGGTACAGAGTAATCCAGAAAAAAAACAGCGACAAACTATGCACAACAGAAAGTGATTTTTCTTGAAGAACTATTCCTGCAAAAGAAAGTTGAGCGAACAGTGGCTGGTCTCTTTTCAAACATATTTAATCTTGTTAAATGGATTAGAAGGAGAAACGACCGCCGCATGCCATGCCAATTCGCGAGAACTTGAGGGAGAAAGAGATGGAGCACTAAAGACAGTGGCTGGTCGACCAGACCGACATGAAGGATTCCAAAACAAAACACAGGTCTAGAATCGGAAGATAGACAGGAGAAGAATCACTCCTCGAAGTTTTCAACCAACTAGAAAGAAGGTGTTTATTCAAGATGGCACGAAGAATTTGATAAATCGTTAAACCATCGTTCTCGCCTTGACAATGGGCATGCAACAAACGCGAACAAACGATCAAAGCGTCAACGGCCTGTTACAACTTTTTGGCGTAATGGCGTAAAGCTTAGTAGAAATTTGCAGACAAACTCTTTGAATTGACGACGAAAGTTGAAAAGGGCAGTTCATCCGCCAGTTGCAGATCTCACGACGGCCCAATCGTGTTTCAAAAATGGATGAAGAAATGGACATAGACGTGGTAGCAGACGAAAACGGTCAGCAGGTGAATTCTGAGCAGGACGCTCCCAATCGTACGATCGATGAGCCTCTGGAGGACGAAGACGACGACCGGGTGAGCCCCCGAGCCTCTACATGAATTTTATATTCTGATACGTTATCGAGATCAGTTGTGTCACCAATTGGTGACGTCTCCTGAATAAGGCAGGAAGGGGAGGGCGGACGTGAATTGGACGGTGTGGGGTCCAATCAAAGCCCAATTAGACAGCAATTGATTGAGCAGTTGAGCAATTGTTTTCAGTGCGAATTTCGATACATAGATTATCTGTTGTATTAGTAACTATTTTCGTGCTCACCGTCCATTCACGTTGTTGTACTTTCTGACTCTGTCGATGCTTTCAAGATCGACATTTACAATTGTGGATCATAGATGATATTCAAATCTGATAAAGTCGAACTTTTCTCATTCAGACATATAGCGGATCATCGAATGGGTCGTCTTATGCTGAAGACGAGGATGGTGTCCCTGTGGTTGCACTCAAGAAAAAGGTGCAAGTTTTTTGTTGTGAGACTTCTAGAACTTTAGCTGCGAAAAGAGATTACGGCCGAACTCGGCAGCTATTGTTGGCATGTATAACTCGTGGAAAGGTTGATAATGGTAAATGGCATAATGTAATGTTACGTAGTAATGGTGCAACACATTAGTTAATAATTCACCGTTCTTACATAGCAAATAAAAGGTCATTCCTATCACTAAGAAAACACAAAGCTCTAACAAGATCTCTATGTCTGTATTCTTCAGTTTCCTCTGCTTCAGAACTTCAATCCAACTCCAGCTGTGCGTGCTGCACCTGTAGAGCTGCCATCCAATACCCGATTGAAGATAAAAGTGAATAAGCTGTTTGTGAGTTCTGCGTTTCTGTATACACGAAATATCTTTCTGATCGGGAAGTATTTGTTCACTTCGGCGCCACGTGTGAGTGATCTCCCGAATTTTCGACAGGCTTGGTACAAGATAACCGCTAGATTTTTGATTACGCAACTTTTCTTGATTTCATGTCCATCGTCTTTCGTGTAGAGTTTCTTGCAATTCAAGATGAGGTCTTTACAGGTCACGGCGGAGTGGAAATGGATTGAGGGAGGTGACGATACTTGTGGTATCTGCCGTATGCCTTTCGAAGCATGTTGTGTGGATTGCAAATGTCCGGGCGATGAATGTCCTTTGGTATGTCATCAACACTTGTTTCCTATTTCAACTGAATTCAGATTTTCATAACATTAGGGCCTGAAGTTATCTGGTTTGTATTGACTATTGTGATTTCAGGTTCTCGGTCAATGCAAACATCCTTTCCACATGCACTGTATAGTAAAATGGACCGATGCGCAGAACACTCCGAAGCCCCAGTGTCCGCTGTGCCGACAGGAGTGGAAATTTGCTGACTGATGATTGGCTTAAGGTTTGTTCCGTCTGTGTTGCAACTTGTGTAGAATGTGTGTAACTATGTATCGCGTTTATTTGACCATCGTTTCTCTAGATGATGGTCCAGAAAAATCTCGTGATCTTAACACAAGCACACAACCATGGATGATGATATTCACCATTAGCACCTTACGGGTCCTCAAATGTGTTCCTGTATCACTGGGTATTGTAAAAAGTGTTTTTTTCTGACGTTTTTGTACTTTTTGAAGGTTGAAGTTGGGTGTCGCTGCTTTATAATAGTATCGTAAGATTTATATTCAATTAAACTATTGAAATCACTGAAACAACACACGTGAAGCAGTTCTTTACAACAAATTCTGACACCAATTGAAAAAAGCTTAAAACAAGTGAAGAGAAAACATATGAGCACCATACCATGGAGAAGAGGACTAAGAAGATCATGTCGTTTTATTAGTGTTTTGGCCAAAAATGTTACAAAGGAAAACTGGTAAAAAGTTAGGACTGTTGAAAGGCTGTAAGGTAATTTACATTACTTATCTCTGACCATCTTAGCAACTGGACTATGTTTCCGTGCTAACAAATGACTAACAATTATGTGTCGAGAGAAAAGGTATAAAGATAATCTAGGCACTTTCTCATGCAAGCAAAATTGGAGATTTTGAATTCATTCCAATGGCGTATGAGAAGCAGTTCAGGCAGCTTTCGACACTTCGTCTACTGCTTCTTTGATTTCCTCACTTGTGTAGAGCGAACTGACCTCATTTTCCATTTTTAATAGATCGTCTAAAAATAAGGATGTGAATTATTTCTAATCATTTCCTAATCGGGTATGCTACTCGTAAGCTCTCAAAATGAATCTACAAGGACTTCTGGTACCCTCTTTTACCGGTCCCACGTCGTTATTCCATAAGATTGCGATTAAAGGCAGACCTACTTAAGATCTCAATTGTGCTTAAACGACGCGACATACTTGTCTTTAAATAAACGCTATGTGTTATTTGGCCAATCAGGACTGTGGAATAAGAAATTGAAAACAACAACAAAAATTGGGCGTGACACTTGGGAGAGAAGGTTAGGCAGCTAAAATTGACCAAAACAGGGTTCAAAGCCCAACCTTTTGTTTTCCTGCATGTTAAGCTAGTTAGCACAGCGTATTGTACAACTCTATCATGGTGCTTGGCAATATCCAAAATCTTCAAATTATTGGCTTCCATATGCTGTGCTTCGAGATATCTGGAAGAAGTTTGAATTCTGTATGAATTACTCTTGCCTACACTCCTCCCTACCTCATCGCGTCTACTACATGTCCTCTTTCGAGAAGTACTTCCACAATTTCATCACAAGCCTTCTGCCTGCAAAGAATGCTATTTGCAGCGACCTACGTATAATGAGCAACTACGTGGGATTCATACGTACCGCGCCAGAATGTCTATACCAGACTGGAAAAGCGATGGACATCTGGCCTCATAAGATAATAAAAGGAATGCCAGCGGTTTCGAATCGAAAATAACCTTAAAGACATTGTGGTTATTATTGGGTAGTGCCGTCTCTCTGTACAGTATAGTGAAGCGGCGGAAGCATGTGAGTAGACTCACCTTATATGTTACAAGCTGATGAAGTTTACTCATTTCTCCAGAAGAAGCTAGGGATTCGACTACCAATTCGAGAAAATATGCCTGTTGGTAAGCAAACGTAATCAAAAAGTGATAAGAAATTGCAATTATGAGAAGAATAAATGAAGCAATTCAAATTCGGCTGATGTGGCCCTATACATATGCCAGAGCAAGATGTACCGTCCCTTTACTGTGGTCCGCACGAGCTGTCTTTTCAGTAAATCTTCACTGCGGAATGAGGTTGTTCGAAACTATCTCAATTTGTAAATGAAAGTCACTCAACAAGGGAAGGATACTAGGTCGCAGTGGCCATTCAAGATGAGATGTAACTGCTTCCAAACGTGATCTCATGTTCGTGTTCCGAATCTGCGAAACGATTCTGGGAACAAAGTTACTGGTTCATTTTCTTTTTTTTGACGTGCGATGAAGACGCAGTTGGGAGGATGTTGGAGTGGCCGTGACATGGGGGTTCGAACCCTTGATGCATGCGCATGTTTTGCTTTTTTATAAGAGTGACACAGTGTCATGAACGCTTGTACAACCCTTTTAAGCATCATATAGACTACCTACAGCCCTCAATCGTGTCCAGGAAACCCCAGAATACAAGGAAACTTTTCATTGCCTACTCAGACCGATAGGAGTGCACATATGTACATACACCCTACTCAACATGTGGCTACGAAATTCGGCAATACTTATGCTGAATTGGGTTAGTACGTGCGTTACATCAACGGAATTGCCTCCAACCCTACTGATTGTCGACTAATGGAGCTCGTTCAAAAACCATGAAGCAATTCAGGGTGCTTAGACAACTGGCAAGGCTGCGAAAGTACTAAACATTCCACCTAGCGCAACCTCCCAAATTCAACCTCTCGATGTAACTTTTTACCATTTAAAGCCCTTTATAAGGGACTGCTTCTTTTGTAATTGCTCATGATCTGTACTTCCACAGTCGCACCAACTCCGCAACTCCATGACTCGCCTTTTCTCACTAGTATACTTCTTGTTTGCACATAGACTCAAAAATTTTGGTTTTTATTCATGGTCTACACTAAGGCACCTTAATAGGGACCAGGGAGAAATTGAAACTCCTGTAAGATATTGTTTCTAATCTCAACTAAAGGAGGAATGTGAGAACTACGAGTGCGGTGAACTTTTCTTCATTGTGAGAAGCTTTTCTGTTTCAAACACTGTGTTAGATTATCATATCTGCATATATAATGCTCACCTGTTGTTCTGACAGGATTTTCTCGTGAAAAATTCAGCTGAAATATACCAGCTTCCTCCTACCCATAGCTAGGGCATTGCTTCATCCAAAAAAAGCCAAGGTCGGATAGTCATTCGATCGCCCTTGCTGAAGGTGCATGGAGCTGCCGAATTTTGTAACCACATCTTGAGTGCCCGGAGTAAAGGAATGTATGCGCACTCTCGCTCTCTCTGTGGAGACAATGAAAAAACCTACCCGTATAAGCAGTTCTGCAGTTCCCTAAACATGACGGAGGGCTGCAGGTAGTCCACATGGGGCGTAAGAGTTTACAGGCGTTAGTACATTTGCATAAAAAAAACAAAACAAGCGCGTGCTTGGAGAATTCAAACCTCCCTGTCACGACCACCAGTCCACCGTGCTCTAACTACGTTATCGTTACAAGTTTGACCGTTGCTCGGTTCGTTTATAAAAGCGAGACAGTGACATGACACGTGGAGAAAATGCACCCGCAACTTTGTTCCCAGAATCGTTCCCCAGATTTGGAACCCAGATTAGAGGTCAGCGTTTAGAAGCGCCTATGTCGGTATACATCTCATCTTGTGGCCATTGCGACCTAGTTCGCTGAGCAATGTGTCCTTTGCAGGTTCAACTGGTCTACTTCGCATAGCATAGGGACGGCGAATATCACCAATACATATACGTATCTGGCTGCTTTTATTTCGGTTTTCTTTTAAACTATTGAACCTGACTAGTTCATTACAGAGGATTGCATTGTTGGGAAAAAATATTACTTCTATAGGGACAAAGTGACGATGAAGACTTCGGAGATATTGCAGCATAATGTCAGCAGCATATTTAGAATCCTTCATTGAGCTTTCCTGAAAGTTGAGCTTAGGGTCTGAAGTCATACCAGCTTGGACTATGGTATTAGAAACATCGGAACATTAACTTGCCATAAGCGGAATGAAGATACTACTTTGCATTTCTGCTTGCTCGATGCGCATGTGTTCTACATCGACAGGAATCAGCTGTGACTTTGTTGATTCTGAAGATCAAAAAAACCAACGTTGGTAGTAGCGGAGATTTCAAGAAATTACCTGTGTGGTTGGCCTCGGCTGCTAAAGATAGAGTGAATTTTTCCACAATGAGGTCAAACAACTTCCGAACCTGCCGTAGCCGTAGCATTTTATGCTTCAAGCAATCGAGAAGTGTACTCAGAACGAGAGATTTTTGATTAGTACGATGAATTAGAAATTCGACAAGTGTACACTGAAAAAAAAACTATCGAGAGGTAGGATTTGTGCGTGATTGAACGTTGTGTAATTCGATAATAGTTCAAAACGAATCTAACCTTATCCACAATTACTTCAGGCGCCCGATCACAGCGCACAGTCAGCTGATACATCATTCCAGCAACCGGATCTGAAAATGTCTCCGTTGTGACCTGTGTCGACTAAAAATTGGAAGCAGACACTTTTCATACAGAGAGTTGAAGGGTAAGGATAAAAGAAATCAGCAGAAGAATAGAGGTGGTATGGGGCAAATGGCGCACTATCATACATGCATGGTCCAGAGTTCGAATCTCAGAGCCATGTCCTCCTAAGCCAACCAAGACCTTCATCACGTCAGATCACATGAATGGAAAAGGAGTCGTCTGGATGATAAAAGCAAATACTCTTACACCAGCTGGCTACCGCAATTCGTGTAGTTCATACGCACTCAAAACGCCACTTCGAGTCCGAAACAGCAAGGAGCGGCCTAACAGGTAGGATTGATTAATGCCGAAAACTTTATTCGTTCCCACCATTGATCGAACGAGATCAAATCCAAACCTTTTGCGACACCCCAAAATGGAAAATTCAGTTAGGATCCCTAGTTTAGCCTAATATCAGATTATGACATGTTGGTTCACATCCATGAAACCAGCCACGCTGTGGGAACAACTATATCATTTCCTCACCGACAACAATATCAGGCTGAAACATGGACCAGAGAGGAACGTACAACGCGGGAGGTGGCTGGCAGATTGGTGATGGTCCTGAAAAACCTTGCTTTGATGACCCTTCTTGGTGAAAGGCATACAAGTAAAAATATGATACTCGCTTATAGAAGTAATAATCAGCGGAGAATGCGTAGGTCGATTGGGCGAAAGTGCAACGTCAAATATCATAGACTTCGCTGTCACCTTAAAAACTTCTAGATCAGCTTCAGAACTAGACTAAATCACTCGCCATTACTTTGCAATTCTCCTGCACCATACCAATAAGGTTATGCGCGATCTCTGGACAAAATTAAAATTACCTGATGATGAACTATGATAAGGTTATCGATTACATGGATGCCAAATCCTCCCGAGCATCCTAAATAAAGTGATTAAACTGTAATTTACAGTTGACTTCACACACTTCAGGAAGGTTGCCTTTTAATAAAGTTGCGCAAACCGCTACACCCTGACTGAATATTCTCGAAGAAAACTGGTCATGTGCTTGTCAGATAGGAAGAGATTCATACCTAAGGCCAACGAATATTTCATTTTGGCAGCACATTGTATATCGGAAGTGAGTTCGTATATCATGAGATCGGTAGCATTGGAACCACCAGCGCTATATCGCAATACCATCACACATACTTTACCGTATCTGGAAATATTTAGGGAAAATGTTTCCCAGACACCATAGTACACCGTGTGTTCAAATGATGTATTCCTATACGAAGTATAAGCGTAGTGATAATAACAGCAGCTGAACTCACATGGATGTTATCGTCACATCTTTCTCCAGCAAATTTTCGCTCAAAGGCGTACTGGAGTCCACATCAAAACTCTAAAATGGTATTCCAATTGGTGAGAGACGAAGCAAGTGAAGCAACACTATGGAAATATTCACTTTCAATCTCGTAAATTGACCATGCTGTATGAGAAAGGGTTGAAGTGTCGTACAGTTAATGCCAGTCGCCAATATTATTAAGCTTGAATTGGCCTATAAAACATACCGAAATTAAATCTCGGAATCACCAGATCCTCATCTAAAAAACTCATAAAACATAACAGACATAAAAGAGCGACCAAGTGGCTGAGACGTTTAGCGTTCTTAAAAGTTTGGCGGACTTCTTTTCCTCGTTAAGAGAAAAAAGTTCGAGAGATTGTTTAGTGACGAAGAGAATCTGAATTCAATGATGTTAGCGTGCAAAAAAAAAAAAAAAAAACAAGAAATGATGAGTTTTCGAGAACAGACCTGACTATTAGTAATCCAATCAACACTGAGAATCATATCTTTGGACTTTGTAGGCACATTGAACTCAACCGCAGTTGTGCCGTCATTCTTTTCCAAGAGTATTATGTCCTAGAGTAACTCTGCTTCAAGAATGAGATTTTTGCGCTTTAATCAGTAATAAACATTTGTAGAAAAATAGCAAACCACAGAGTTAATTTGACGTTGGAGGATTGCGAACTTGCCATTGGGCGATAACTTCATCAAACCAGGAGGACCACGATCTTTCGTGCTAAACTTCAACGAATGCTGCGATCCAAAAAACAATAGAATGTTGGAGACTGCACCAATTTGTAAGAGGTTCATATCCTCGAGGAGTAAAAGATCCCGACCAACAAGGAAGATATTTAGGAAAATCATCATGCCAAACTTCAAAATGAACCAACCGCGCAGAAATAACGTCGTTTTCGGCGAGTGACTTGGCCGTGATCCCAAGAGAACCGTTATTTCTTACAGTGCATATCTGAACGAGGACACTGCTTTGCGGTATTGCGTTGTAATTGATTCTTACCTTAAGATTGACATCGTCGAAAAAGTTTTGAGTTATGTTTCCAGACTGCTCGTTTTGTAGAGTTTCAGGTTCAAACGCCACCGAAACGGACCCCAATTCTAACATCCAGCGTCTGCGCAGCAATCAATGGATACTGTCATAACTTGACAAATTCAATGAAAACTGTTTGTAAAAAAAACAGACACACGGTGAAACCACACGGTCTTCAGGTTGAATGCGTAAAAAATATTTATATCCAAGAATGTTTGCCACATTTCACTTCGATAAGAAATACGAGTACAAGAAATTGTGAGCTAGATATGATCGAAAATGAAAAGGATAAGTTCACAAGTCTCCTTTACGCCCACGGAAGCGACTCCTCATATCAACTAAGGACCTCTTACAATCGGTGAAATTCTGGAGCAAAGAGAAGCATTTGTCTGGAACACTCCCATCGTGAGCATCAATGCATTCCTTTGCCGATCTTGCTTGGACCTCAAAAGGAAAATATTGCCACTGCGATATTCAAATAAACGGTAACTAAGTTCTGTGTCTCCGTCTAAGTTCAGGTCTTGAAAGTAGTCGAATGCTTCACATACAACTCAAGATCACCAAGATGACACTCAAAGCGATTAAAAGACGCAGAAACGTTCCTCTGCTTCAACTTCCAATTTCTGCGCAATTTAACCCAAGGTCAATTGATGCAGTTATAGCATTTTCGACTCACAAAGAATTGGTAGCCCGTAAAAAAAAGCAAGACAAAGCAGTAGGAAGACAAACCTGAACACAATGTGATTCCTTTATGCATTTCTTCAACGCTTGACGTAGGCGATCACAAGAGATACCCGTCGATGAAACCGAATTCAATTCTTCATCTTCAAACCGGTAGGTTGCTGACTGGGGCAAAGCCGTCATGAATTTTTCACTTTCAATGAAGAAGTTTAGATTGTGGTCAAAAACCTGCTATGATTAGGATATTTTATGTCGGATTAACCTTTCACAGCGACCACTTTACGACCACACAAAAAATACTCTCAAAACAAGTTATTATGTTATAGAACAGAACCAGAAAAACTCTTTCACTCAAAAAAAATGTGTAAGCCAACAAGAAGACTTCGGGTAACTTTGTAAGAAACCTCCATCGCCTAATCATTGCGTTTGAGCATTATTGAAGATGGCAATGAATCAATAAGATGAGTCAAATCGCAAGTGACCGAGTAGCGAAGAATTAATGAGTCTATGCCGAGCGATTCCACCGTCTCAATTCTCTGTGAAGGGAAAACGCGCTCCAATCGCTTTGGTGTTCCCGCCGAGACTTCTCTTCGAAGCTATTTTGCCAATGTTCACGTTCGCAGCATGTGTTTCCGCCGTTGCCCTCGCATTGATATTACTATGCGTGCTTTTCGGCAACTGCTCGTCTTTCGGGTCTATTCCTCTCTTAGAACAGTCCATTTGATGGTTTCTTTTTACACTACTTGTGGTCTCATCTTAAGTACACTCTCGCTATTTTTTCTCGTACCATTTCACCAAATAATCGCTGTTTACACTCAATTACAATCATTGGTTTCACATGGCGATTCATATTGACGTCGTCTCTGGCGGTGGTATGTATGTACAGTAACGCACAAAAGTCTTTGGCCAGAGCTCCTTCAGTTGTCCTTTTCAGTCGTAACTCCTTTCCGGGAGACGTCCAGTAGGAATGGTTTTGTGTAGTCGATCCGCCGCACGCGGCTGTCGCGGACCATTTGCCTCATTATAACAGTTCTAGCGTTCTTCATACGGCTCAATCGCTATGCAATCATTTCTTTTGGCATTATTCTACTGTCAGTTCTTTTGTCCCTGTATTTCTTACTAGCTGCTGCATCCTGCTACATTCCTTCGCCCGCGACGTCTCTCGCCGCGACGCGACAATTTCGCTCCTACCGCACCACGCCCCTCCTTTCCTACTTGAAGTAATCATGCGAAATTTAAATGTGTACAGCATGGGTGTATTGTAAATATTTACCATTGTCAACCT